GGAACTTGTGTCAAATGGAACACGTTCTTCACCCAGTCGACCTTTCAATGGAAGTTTCTGCCCCTAGCTACAATTTTCTGTAAATAATTTTATGATCCTGGTTTAAGCAATACTTTTTGAAGCTCTGTTTGTCTCATTTTCTGTTAATAAGCAAATTAATTTACCAGTAGTGCAGTTTTCTCCATACTGCTGTCCATATACTTCCTACATGTTACTGATGAGGATAACTTGCTTAGCAGTTAATACCTTTTTAACTCGTTTATATTTCTAACAATGTTTATTTTGATTTAGCAGTGGAGTTGAAGGTTTAATTTTTGAAATTAATTTTTTTTGAATATTGACTGTGGACATTACTGGGAGAGAAAAGATTTAAGAAAGCTCCAACATTTATTTATTATTATCCTCTATGTTCATTAGGTTTATAGGCTAAACAAGACATCTGCTGAAATTGCAAAAAGGGCTGCTAGAGAAGTAACTGAAGCCACAGGTATGGTGAATGAAAATTTTTCACATTTTCTTCAATATGCGTGTACCATACTGGGAGCAAAGTAATGATTTAAAAGGCAGAAAATTTTTATGTCCTATCAAATAACCATTAGTAGAGATTTCTATTTGTTGTCTACCAATATTTGTCTCTAATGCATTCACATTGCTGACCTCACAAGGTTCTTTCAAATTTCTGGCAGCTGGTATTGGTCCCTGGCTGCCCAGGTCTTGAAATCAATGCCCCAGCTGGTGTTACATGAAGAGGCAATCAGTTTTAGACTCCATAACAACAGCAACAAAATTTATTAATAAACAGATAATATTACACATGCATTGCTCACAGCCAGCAAGGCTATTTGAGGCGGGGCAATGCGTGCAAAATATGAAATTAAGACCAAGGCTAACTACCGGTATAAAGGAAAGTTTACAGTTTGCAAATAAATGAAATAAAAATTGTAATATGGATTCATAAGGTCTAGATAACGCAATAAAGAAGAAAGAATTGAACAAATAATTTGTAAAAGTAAAAACTAATTAGCAAGAATTTGTTTTTCAACATTTTTGGCTAATTTTACCTTTTTAATGAAGGTGGGTGTATCAATACAGTCATCTTCTGCATTCAAAATATCAAAAAGTAATTGGCAGAGCGTTTTTTTCAAAGTTATTCTTAAGCTAAAGTTAGCCCCAAAGTGAAAGAAGGACAGTTTATACAGGGCTTGAAATAATTTCTGGAGAGTCTTCAGACACAATGACCAGCCCAATTCATTTTAACTCGGTCACTTGTTGTTTCTGGTTGGTCAAATTTATTAGATAAATAACTCTACTTAAAACAGGGTCCCATGAACCAAAACTGGCATTATATATATATCCAAAAAAGTTGTTGCTTAGAGCTTATAGCACTTTAAAGAACTTATTGTCAACAATAAAAATAACTTACAGAGGAGAAATGAAAAACAGCTTATGTGTATTAATGGGTACACTATCTCTAAGACTAACCCATAACACATACCATTATCATACACATTAAATTTGTCTGGCGCCTCTAAATGTAATGATTTCTGGAGTGTGAACCCCGATATATATGTCTGTTTCAATGCGTGAATTGTAAACAACAGCTAGTTCTAGTTGTGTTTCACCCAGGATTTCAGATCAAAGTTCCACAATACACAGCGACTCGCCACATACTGATAACAACACTGTAACAACTGAACGAGTCATGAGCGAGTCATCGAAACGTCATTCAAAATTTTTATCCTTGATTTTTATTCTTAAACAACTGAACAGCATGGAAATTGTCATGTATTTCATGTATTTCAATACGATCAAATGAGACCGGTCAACATGACTGGCAAGACAGAAGGTTAACCGGTCAACTCTCTAATCAGTCCGGACATTGCCGTTGACCGGCCGTTATTTCGATCCCTGTTACAGTTGATAGTTTCTCCATAACCTGGTGAGTTATGTGCAGGTCCAACTAAAGGCATCTTATGTATGTATTGATGTTTATTATCTGCATAACTCAATCCTATCATTGTACTTTTTTAGGTGTGAAACGATATGTAGCAGGAGCCATAGGACCAACAAACAGGACACTGTCCATCTCACCCAGTGTGGAAAATCCTGGATACAGAAATATCAGTGAGTCTTTATTCATTGTAATTCAACCATTTTTTGCAGCCAAATTCACTAAATGTGTGACCTGTGCACAATGATCATCAGCCATCAAGACTGTGCCCGAAGAAAAATTAAGGGAATTCCAGTGCTCTGAACCTGTGAAGTCCAGGTGCTCAGCAGAAGATTTTTTAGCCTCCCATGCAGGTGTTTTTAGGGGAGCTCACATTTTGTCCGTCCCCACAAATGCCTGCTCAACTGAAAACAACATTCCTTTGCCATTGTTTTATTCGCATGGTAAGTGACCAATCAACCATTTTGAAATAAAATGTTGGCAGGCTAAACACAACTCATAAGCTCGTGGCAGTAAAAAAACATGATCCCAGAGTTACCTTTTTCCTTTTTTTCTTTCTTTAGCAAAGGTTATGCAGTGCACAGGGTATTCTAAAATGTGACTAAATCTTACTTTTGCCTCTCTAAGCCTAACATTTACTACCTCCTGACGTTTATTAGAGGTCATAATTGAAAAGCTTTCAGAGTGTTTCATGCAGATCGAGTTATTATTGGGTTACCCTGCAGACAAGGTCAACCTTTCCAGAATTTGAAAGGTACAATGCGATTGGCTAAGTTTGGGAGAGGAATGTTATTCTCGGTTGAGCAGGTGGTTGTGGGGAGGAACGGAAAAAAACACCTGGGTGGGAGGCTAAGGATTTCTATGTCAAAACTGAGATTTCCTAGTAGTGCAAAAGCCAAAGTAATTTAATAGGTGCCACTCTGGGGCCACCAGGTGCAGCCATCGCTCAACCCTCACCACACACCAGTGTTTTTATTATTTATGTTTTAAATATTTTCTAAAGTTAAAGTGAGATCAGCTGTGAAATATTATTAATTCTATGGACCTCTTTCACCCTGGTTGTTCAGGTATTAATCCTTGAAAGCAAATGCAGCATGCATCTCTAACTTCAACAACAACAAGTTTATTCTGTATTACCATTTGGTACAGGTGTTACCGATTAAAATAATAATAAACAGCTTAATTTAAGGAAATGAAGATATAATGGAACGGTAGAATTAACTATGTTTCTTTCGTCTTTCAAATGCTTGAAAGATGAAATTAGCAGCTAGCCTGCTGATATGTGAATCAGTAATGTTAAAAAGAAAACAGACTTTATCATGGATATTGTAATTTGTAAATAATGTATTTCGGTCGTTGATTTTAATAAAAAGAGTCTTTCTCAAATCGTGGTATTGATCACAGTGAAATAATTATGTGTAGTTCATTTTCAACTGAATTTTGGTTGTAATGATCACAGATTCTAAGATCTTCAGGAGTTTTGGGGATTGTAAATCTTCCAGTTTCTATTTTTAAATTGTGATTTCCTATCCTAAATTTGGAAGCTACACGCCTATGTTCAGGATTCCGGATATGATTGATGAATTCAGAGTGATTTGTTTCATTTTTAAAGATGGAGTAGAATTTTAGTTTTTTATTATTTTGTTCTTATCAAATTTAGTTGGTGGTTTTTCAGATGTTTTGTCAGATTATTTTCAGCTTTGGATAGGAAAGTAGAAGGGTTTTTAAAGTTAACTGATTGTTTATTAATATTAAGTTGTGTACTCAAAAGATTTATTTTATCTGTTAGGCCTGATTTATTTTCTTCGGCCATTTTATCCGAGGTTTTTTTTACCTTATTTCATGTCTTTGGAGGATTTCATGATTTAAGCTCACCAAATGTTAAGCTTGGAGCACTGTATTTTTATACAGGAATTTATCAATGTCTTTTGTTTATACCTAATATATAGCCTTTGATGAGTTAGTGGAGGCTTACGCTGAGCAAGCCAGAGGGCTTCTAGATGGTGGTTCTGACATTCTCATGGTTGAAACAATATTTGACACAGCAAATGCTAAGGTTTGAAGAAACATGTTCACTTGATTAAATAATATATTAATGCTATTCGTCAAAAGTATTTGTATTGTTTAATACCAGGCAACATGTTAATATTACTGTGACATTGGCCTAAAAAAACTTGGGTGTTTCAGTTACCTCTGCAGCTCTAGAAAAACCATAGTTAGTAGACATGACAGCAGACAAACATCAAAGCTGAAAACAACGGTGCTATTGGTGCTATTATCGGTGTTTTTTGGAAGCTCCCTGACCATGCACAATCCTTCGATTTTTGTCCACAAATTGTGACTGAATTTAAACCTAATGTGATGTTTCTATTGGTCAGTAAGTTCAAAATGATAGGAATGCTATTGAACGTTGTGCACAGTCAGGTCCAAAAAAGCTAACAAAAACGGATAGCAAAGGAGTCTAATGGGTTTTTATACACACACAAAATGTAACCATTCCACATTTTGTAACTATAATGGAAAAACAAATGAACTTGAACTCCAGCTTATCATTTAAGAAAATCTACTAGTCGTGGGTGACCAGATAGGACTTGATTTCAAACCCTGTGCCACAAACCTTATTCAGCTGAAAAAATGTTTTTATGGTTCCAAGCAGACTGGTAAACAAATAATAGAAATTAAAATGTACAATACATTGTACATTGTAAATAGAGACATATCTCAACTCTATACATGTACTAATAATAAATATTTGTTCTGTGGTAATTTTGTTTTGGGTAACACATCAGTACATAGTGTTAATGACATTTGAGTGAAAGTTCCCTTCCTTTGTTCTAGGCTGCATTGTTTGCAATTGAAAAACTCTTTGAATCAGAGTACAAACCTGTTCCAATATTGGTAAGTAACAACAGTTCTCAAGCTGTGATGTGTTAAGTTATTATGTTTGCATATCCTGTCAATGATCCAAAGCCATTTGATATCAGATCAACACTCACTGTTAAATCATCCTCAACAACAAAATGTTGACTCAAGAAATATGGCTTACTGTAGAGTCAATTTTTTACTCCTTCTGATCAATAGACTAAAGCTGTCCATCCCTAGAGTTAAAATGACAAGCCTGTACTTTACATGCTTTACATTACATGTATATGTTGTGGTTCAATTTTACCCATGGTTTAAATTTTATTTCCCTTGGTTTTAAACTCATTTTCATATGTTACCGTACCCAAAAACAAAGGGAAATCAAATTTAAACCAAGGGTAAAATTGAACCACAACATATATATATTGCAGGGCCATCAATAAGAACCACAAGCCAGCTAGGGGTCAGGGAAAATAGAATAAAAAAATTCCTACATTGTACATGTAGCTGTTCAATTCTCTTTCTAGTACTAAGTGTTAAATGTTCAAAGGTGCAGCCCTGATTGGCATATTACTTTTATGCATTAACCAATAAAAATTAAGAAGATGCATGGAAGATGGGGAAAAAAATTCCAGGGGATGGCACTACTAGAGCTTAACAAATCAGTGTGATTTATAGCTGCGAATGAATTGGGAGGGAAAGAAAATTCAGTGTTGTCATCCTGACCTGAATGTAAATTGAAAAGAAATAATTTCTTGGAATTATTGCACATGTTGTCTTTTCTGCAGGTGTCTGGTACTATTGTAGACAAGAGTGGAAGAACCCTCTCTGGTCAAACGACAGATGCTTTTGTCATCAGTGTGTCTCACTCAAAACCATTAAGGTAGGAACACCGTACATATTGGAGATATTCTATCACAAACACAAGGTCAGTGTTTGCTTGCAAATCTAGATAGTTTTCAAACCAAATTCCAGCCTCTTTATGGGTATCTGCAGAGGTTATTAATTTTGTTGCGCAGTTTCAGTCAAATCTTTGGTTTTTCAACATTGCTGCACTTCGAGAATTTATTGTTTTGCATGGTACATGTAATGCAACTAACATGGCTGCCACAGGTCAGGAAATGGTCAGGGAAAAGAGAGCGGGAAAAATGAAATTCAAGATTACATATTTATTCTTTTCTCTCCACTTTTATTGTTTTTTAACATTTAAAATTCTTTTGTACATTAATTTTTATGGACATGAATCACGTATTATTAGAATAAATTTTTACTTTTCAATCTTTTTTGCCACGTTATGCTTTGAGGAACTTTCAAATCATGTACACTGCATGTTGCTTTCTGAAAACATAAGTAAATGGGTGGAGAGGATGGCTCTGAGACTGGAGGGTTGAGTCCATCTTCAGGACTTATTTGAGAAAAATGGTCAGGGAAATCAGCATTCTAGTTAATTCTTTCAAGGAGGGGTCATGTAGACCATCTGAGGGATCACCAAGACCACATGGTAATGTTTTTCGTTTTTTTTGTTATATTTAACTTAACACTTATATGTCATCTCTCGGGTTAGGAAGCCTTCTTTGTCGGGTCGTTGACCCGAGAACCGTCTCTTTATGGAACACTGGGAAATCTTCATTTGTCAGGGAAAAGTCAGGGAATTTCAGAAACCTTTGGCTGTGGTAACCATGACTAATGAGCTCAAGGAAACAGTCATGATGACGACAAAGGAAAGGAGATAAATAAAAGAAAAATCAAAATACCCATAGAGAGGCTTAAATTTACGTGCACAAATTCAGTGTGCTGTTGTGTGAATTGATCCTTTCTTTGTTGTTGACTGAACACTTTACTGTTTGCTCAACAGCATTGGTCTCAATTGTGCATTAGGTGCAAATGAAATGCGGCCATTCATAGAGGCAGTGGGACTGTGTACAACAGCTTATGTGCTCTGCTATCCAAATGCAGGTAAAGTACATTAATCCATAACTACATTCACAGATCCAGTACTACAGGAGCTTTACCATCTGTATGCATCAGAGCTTGAAAAACACACACTGGAATTCCAGCTGCAATCAGGGAGAAAAGTAGTTGACGTACTTGTCTAAAACGCCTGCTTTTAGCAATAATTTCATTCATTTAATCATTTACTTCTGTTTAAACGCTGTAAATCCCACCACCCGCAAATCAATGTTGTTTGTGGTTCAGACCCCAAACTTTTCAAGAGCTGAACCATGCATTTGGTTTGGTACATGAGAAGGTTGGTGTCTGAATCGAAGCCTTTCCAAAGTCGATCTAAAATTGAAATTCCTGGCTGGGCTAGGTGGGAAGAATGGCCGAGCCATTCCAAATCGAAACGGGCATTCCTAATAAAATTATTGGTTCAGACTCTGAACTTTTCGTGTACTTGATTCAATGTATTAGGTTCGGCTCATGAAAAGATTGGCGACTGAACCAGGCCTAAAATGCAACATTGATTTTAGGGGGAGGGGGTAGACTGGACAAGCAGCTCTCAAAATCTTTGGCTTGCCCCGGGCTAGCTAACTGCATGCTTGTCTCAGTTAATGACTTCAACTTAGAAGACAACTTGCCTATAGGCCCTTGATATGAAAAGTTGCCTACTGGCAGGAAACTTTACTTGTCCCAGACAACTGGATGTCCGTGACTTTTTTAATGCCCTGGTGCATGCCTAGTATGTCCTTATATTTAGGAACTGTTGAGATTTTAAGACATGACTCCTATCTATTGCTTAAATTTCAGGTCTACCAAACACTTTTGGAGGCTATGATGAAACCCCAGAAGTAACTGCGGAGCAATTGAAAGTAAAATAAAATAATTTCTTTGTCTTATAAAGTGTTTTTTTTTCAATACCTTATCAGTGCCAGCAGGACATTAGAAAAATAATATTTGTTAATAAAATTAACACACAATTTAGCTTCAATTTTTTACTCTGCAAATTGTCAGACTGCACCTTTAAAATAATTATTGTGTGGTGAAATTATTTTTTGTCTTGGTTTGTGAGAGTGAGTGATTATCATATTTGATTAGTGCTCTGTTTCCACAGTGTTAGAGTATCTGGATTTGCTCTTCAATAACTGTCCTGCTTCAAGAAACAACAGTGTTTTCAGCGACCAGCTACTTTATTTTTGGTGGGGAAAGGGCCCCTCCTCTTTTACGAAAGAGGGTCTAAAGTTCAATATATTAAATTTTGCAAAAGAGTTGAAAATTCAACAGGCTAAAAAGTGCTCGATGAAGTCTATGTTTTAAGAATCAACCTCGACAGTGAACCCACTATCCCTAAACAAGTCTTGTTTGTAAAGCAAGTTTTCTTTATTGCTGTCAGGGCACTCTTATTGTGTTACTGTTTTTCAACATTAGAACTCTTATCTTGGTTGCAGAATTTTGCGAAAGATGGACTGGTGAACCTTGTTGGAGGTTGTTGTGGTACAACTCCTGCTCACATTAAGTACGTATGCATATTGCATATCCCGTTTATCAGTAGCCAGTTCCATGCATGCTCTCAGTAGTTTCCTGCCTGTTATTTTTTTTCTTGTGTGTCCAAAAGCACTGAGAACCTGTTTGGCAAATTTGTAAGACAAGCATGTTAAATTCATGGATGCCAAAAAGGAGTTCTAAGTGACTTCTCCTCATATTCTAGATGCTTGACCTTATTTTATTATTTAGTCTTTGGTCCTTTGGAGAGAATCAGTGTAAGATTATTTATAATCACTAGGATGAAGTGATCACAAGGTCCATTGGTCATGCCCACATTGATGGGAGCTTGGTCTGTTTAAGGAATATGTGCTATGTTGTTCTGTGGCAGTCCACTTTTTAATACTTGGTGCAAATAATAAAATTGTAACCATATTATTTTTTTGAAATTCAAGATGTTTGGTAACTTTGCCTTCTACCTTTCAGGGCCATTGCTGAGGCTGTAAGACCGTTTAAACCACGACCAATACCTGAAGACCACTTTGCAAATGCAATGAATCTTTCAGGTTTGTTGATTTTGAGTTTCATCAGGTTTATGTTCTCCTTCCCACCACCACCACCACCACCACCACCACCATCATCATCATCATCATCATCATCATCATCATCATCATCCTCCTCCTCCTCCTCCTCCTCCTCCTCACTGGGGTCCACAGGACTTGTAGAGAAGCTACAAGGGGGTCATGAGGGAGAAAAGAGGGTCACAATTTTTGGATAAAGTTAACTCAAGGTTTTCACAGGTCTGAGTTAAAGTAAGTACCTCGTACTTTCTTTGATAGATAATGATGGGTGTTTTCTAAAGATACCATAACCAATTAAATTTTGGCTTATTTTGTAAGGAAATGTACGTGTGTGTACATATTTTTACATACTTTTTGTAATATGCATTTTTTCCTTCTTTGTGCCTTGGGACTCCTTGGGTTGATGCTACAATGTCGTGGCCAGGTAAGAACGCTGTCATCACCATCAGCATAATCTTTGTCATCTTCATCATCATCATTTTCATCATCATCAATGCATCACTATTGTTGTCACCCACCTTTATCATTGTCATCATCATTAGCTTATCTCTTGTACTTGTACTTGTACTTTTTTTCTATTAGGTCTTGAGCCAGCAAGAATCACCCCAGACACCCTGTTTGTGAATATTGGTGAGCGTTGTAATGTGGCTGGGTCTAGGAGATTTTGCAGGTTGATCAAAGATGGGAAGTTTGAGGTAAACACAATTTAAGGATTAAAATTGACTTGTGTGGTCTCCCATGTTAAAGGGGCAGATCATGTTTTTGCTATCATTCAGTTATCTGTAAACTGGAGGTGTCAGTATAAAGATTCCCCACTCAAGAACCATTGAGTCCCAGTTCAAAAAATAATAAGTCCTAAATTGAAAATGCTTGGGCCTTTATGGACCAGGCAGATATAAATAAGGCATTACTCTCTTGTAAAGTACAAAGAAGACTAAAAGAAATATGCATCGTTAAACAGCCACAAGAACAGCCACAGAAATCACATGAACATGATATTGTACAAAAACATCTTCAGATTGATCGATCGGTTGATATTTGCGTCCCATGAACTTTTTGTGCGTCCTTGGGGATTTTTATACGTCAGGGACGCAGAACGCAGAGTATCATTGCAGATAGATAATTTATAGGGCCCATATTTTCTGAAGATTTCCAAATGGATTGGCACGAAAAATATTAACCAGAGGCAAGCCAGTTGGCCATTAACTAGTGGTGGGGCAAGTGCCTGAACTCAGGATCTCAGGATTGCAAGTCCATCACTTAAAGTGCTTGGCCATGCTGTCTCCTTTATTATTCCTCCTTCTCTACCTCTTTGTTAGTGCTGCATTACCAGTGGTGGATCCAGGGGAGGCCCCCCCGCTCATTCTTAGACCAAACTGGGGCAGGAAGGGCCAAAAAATTTTTTTGTGGAGACCAAGCCCCCCCGCCTTATCTAAGGCTCTGGATGAGCGGGCTCCTCTCCCCCCCCCCCTCCATGTGTGGATCTGTCACCCCACCGGCCGTAAGGAAAACATACCGTTATTAGTGAGCTTAAGCAACAGCGTTTTTGAGCGACGGACGTCAACCGGAAGTGGACTTTTTGCATCATTGGGGAGTGGTTTGGTTGAAACTCTCGGGTAAATCGTCTTTAAAAGAGAAAAGAAACTCAGCTATACAAGTTTGTTAGCGTCAAGGCATATAAAAAGGGAGAAGGCCTCACTTCCGGTTGACGTGCATCGCTCAAAAACGTCTTTGCTTAAGCTCCCTACTATTGTGTGGGGGACCTGAACAATCCCAAATCAATCACTTTCAAAAGCTGTTATTTGGTTGCCTTGGAATGATATATAATTCAACAGCTTTCCTTACCTGGAAAATCCCAGATTTTTTTCATTTATTTATTTTTAAAGTATTTAAATTAATATTTTTTCAGGGGCACCAAATTTTGGCATAACTAGCTTAAATGGAGCCCTGACACAAAAGAAAATAATGAAACAAGAAAACACACATGGTCAAACAAAAAAACAAAAATAAAGACAAAAACATTAAAGAGACTAGCCTTAACAAGATTATCAAAGCAACATGTACAAGTATTATTGTCTTAGATGGCGTTTGAGCTTAATCTTAAATTCTAAAACAAAAAGAAAGAAAGAAAGAAAAAAGGGAGTAGTTGAGTTCAGGTTAGTCAAATTAAGGAGGATTTTGAAAGAAAAAATAATTCGATATAGCTCTGGAAGCGATAATGATCAGCTAGTTTGAAACTGCAAGAACTGAAAGACTGTTAATCTGATTTTAGAGTCTTGGAAACACAGTTCCCGTCTCTTGGAAATATAATATGCTTAAAAGTTGAAACTTCTCTTTCAGGACGCACTGGCTGTTGCCAAGCTTCAGGTGGAGAATGGAGCGCAAGTTCTGGATATCAACATGGATGAAGGCATGTTAGATGGAATTTCAAGCATGAGCAAGTTTGTTAATTTGATTGCCGCGGAACCTGAAATCGCAAAGGTAAACACTCACTTCATCCATTTTGTGACTAATGGTGTGCTAAGCACTTAACTTTGATCAGAGAGAGACTGTAGTGACTTGTGATAAACTTCTTGATTCTCCTTCCAATTTGTCTTGTACATGCTGGTCAATAAGACGGGAGATTTTGCTATTATATAACAATGAATTCGGAGGGTAAACAATGAATCTCGGAGGGTGTTATCCGCCTTGGCCTACGGCCTCGACGTATAACACCCTCCTCGATCTCCATAATTCTTCATAAGATACTCAGCCTCATTCATTAATTGTTAATTATACTTGTAGTGTAGTTAAAAAAGGTAGAGTGCTAACGTGAAGAGAAGAAGAGTTTTCTTGAAGTTAAACATGTAGAGAGCTCACATATACACGTCCGTCCGCCATGAAAGCACTTGCTACTTCTTTGAACTGTATGTTTTGTTTCCCCAATGTAGGTCATGTTATACTCTGGAGAACTGTTCCTATCAGATTTTGTCAGATTCTCGTGCATATGTACGCATAATTTATGGAAAGACAAAGGAGCAAATTCCCCCGAGACCTTCTTAGATCCTTTGTGATAACTGATTGTTATAAAATCCTGAAACTACTGGGGGATATGCCAAGTGTATTTTTTTTTAAAACAAAAAGTGGTTTTGTTTTACGTCATAGGTTCCTCTTTGTATTGATTCATCGAACTTTGATGTGGTAGAAGCTGGATTGAAATGTACGCAGGGAAAGTGCATTGTAAATAGCATCAGCTTGAAAAATGGCGAAGCTGACTTTCTAGAAAAGGCCAAGGTGATTAAACGTTACGGAGCGGCTGTAGTTGTCATGGCATTTGACGAGCAAGGACAGGTGAGATGAGACATTGAATCAACAAAAAGCAGCTGCTTGTGTTTTATCTTACAGGATTGTTGGCTTAATTTAAAATTAATTAAAGAATTCACGTCGCTCGATGACTTGGCGATGTTCTCGCCCTGTGTCCACGCAGGAACGGCGGGTCTAAAATACTTTAGATAAATCGCGCCACCACAACCGTTCTTGTGTTTGGACATAAGCCCTTTCCGGTATAGTGCAAACGTAGCCTAAAGCTATTAACACAATACAGGATAGGGCCATGAAAATCATACCAGATATAGTGATTTTGTTACAAATAGTTATGGTGAGTCATGGGACTAATCTTGTGAACAAATTATGAGTCCAACTCCAGACCCGTTGAGTCCCAGTTCAAAACACAATTTCAAGTTCTAAATTAAAAATTCTTGGGCCTTTCTGGACCATAAAAGATATTCTTTTGTAAAGCACAACGAATAGTAAAAGAAATATACGTCGTTAAACAACAGCCACAAGAACAGACACCGAAATCACACGAGCAGGATATTCCACAAGAACATCTTGTGCGTCTTTGGGGACTTTTATGCGTTGGGACGCAGGACGCAGAGGTAACGAAATCACTGTTGAGATAGGGCCCATATTTTTTGAAGATTTCCAAATGGATTGGCATGAAAAATTTTATTTTCTAATTGAAATTTCCTTTCCCCTTGGATGAGTACCCAGTGACTGTAGTGTTACTGAATTCCTTTCTCATCCTTGTCCACTTGTCACTTCCAAGAAAACCAAGAGATCATGATCCTATTATGGCTCTTGAGAAAACCTACTTGGGTATCGATAACAGACACCGCTTCTTTGATTTCTTTCCAGGCGGCAGACTTAGAAGACAAGATAAGAATCTGCAGTCGTTCGTACCATCTTCTGGTATCTAAGGTAGATTTTAACCCCAACGATATTATCTTCGATCCAAACATTCTCACGGTGGCAACAGGAATGGAAGAACATAACAACTATGGAAAGTATTTCATTGAAGCAACACGTGCCATCAAGGTTAGGAAATCAAATTAGTGTAGTTATTAAACTGGCCTTAATGTACACTGTTTCCGTGTATGCGTACGGGTTAATTACCCGCACGCGTAGCCGTTAATGCGAGTAAAATTGCCTCTTATCCCGGAGAAACGGCCAGGCTACCGGGTAGAACGATGATGCCATGGAAAAACTTGGTTGCCTTCTGTGTATAACTATGTAACAAACATGCATGTTCGCCTAAGAAACAATCTTAACGTCGGCTGTAAGTCACTACTCTATTGTAATCTTCTCGTGTTTTAGGCCATCTTGTTATTTCTAGTCTACAAAGTAAGAGAAAAATTTATCCACTTGTCCCCCAGACAAGCACTATTTTAAATTTGGTTGTCCAAAAAGTTTTGCCAGGTTTCTAAGCCAAGTGAAGCTCATAAAAACAAATGAAATGGCCCCGGTATGGCAAAGTTAAAGGTATTATTTACCCCTATTTTGTCAAGCATGAGGTTTTCTTTTATGACTACAAGATAAATTTTAAGTCTACTGTAATTTGAAGTGATTTTTCAAATGTTTCTGTATTTTTTCTAATGAAAAATATGCTTGTCCCACGGACAAGTCATGTCAAAGGTTTACTTGTCCTAGTAACGAAATTTCTACCTGTCCCGGACAATCGGACATAGGGTTTGGCGCGCCCTGCAAGCCAGTCTAGGACTATTTCTCCTATTGAATGATTGTGTTAGCATTTAGTAGTTTACAAGTGGAAGCGTTGTTTTACAGGCAACGGAATTAATTCCTCTTGACCATTATGAAACTCAAAAGGGGGAGGCTATTAAAGGGAAAGTAGTTCTCCATGGTAAAAAAACTAGTTAAAAAGATGAAATGATGATGATGAACTGAATAGCAACGTGAAAATGAAAACGATGAACAAAACAGAAACAAAAAAAACGGAAATAGAGCGATTTTTTTAAACGGGTAAAAACGCGCGAGGCTTTTTGGTTGGTTCAGCGAACGTTCTAAAAACGTCATGCCCAAGATGAAATGAAGGACGTCATGATGATGAATGACGAAAGCAAAGAGGCCTGAACTGAATAAAACAAATATCGAACACTGTCATACGAAAACTGCTCTAAAAGTGTCTAGCTGGCCTGGTAAGGCCTACTTAGAGGGGACACCAATTAAAATACCATCATTTGAACAGACTACTTATATCAGAAGAATATTTACAAAACATAAAATTTAAAATACTATCAACCTAACTAATATAAGAGAGAGTAAAATTTACAAAAATATGCTTTCTCATTTCATATAAAAAAATACTAAGCAAAAAAAATTGACTAAACGTTTTATGACATTTCATATAAGAATAATGCTAAGTAACTAAAAGTAATTAAAAGGTCCGTATTGTCTTAGACTGCAAAACAGTCCGAATTTTTGCGTGTTTAAGAACGCGCGAGCTGTCAAACAGAAGGTCTGGAACGAGGCTGAAAACAGAGAGCGAGACTGGGGAGAGACGCGAAAAGCAAAGTTTTTTTTCTCTCGCCTCACAGGCCCAACGGGCGTGTGATGTTCGCGCGCTTATGACAATTACGCCACGCTTTACCGATTTCTTTACTGATTTTGAGAAAAAAAAAAGCCGACTGTTTTACAGTCTACTACTGTCTCGAAAATGTCCGTTAGCTAGAACACAAAAGCAATTTGTCATAGCCCTTTGTAATTGTATGTTGTAGATCTACCTTTCGGATTTTCTTCTTAAAACTGTGGATTGATTCGGCCTTTTTAACACCTTTACTTAAACGTTTAGCGCGGTTGTTGTATGAATATATTAAGGAATTGGTCAGAAGATTTAAGATGTTTGTAAAAATGGTATTGCACAAATCTGTGGTAACAGTGACCCTGATTTATTTTTGTTGTTTTAGCAAACTCTTCCTGGTGCGCGAGTAAGTGGTGGTCTCTCGAACTTCTCCTTCTCATTCCGTGGAATGGAGACAATAAGAGAAGCAATGCACAGTGTGTTCCTGTATCACGCCATCAAGGTAAGAATGATGCCCAATTTATTGTAATTCATCTACAAAAATAATCCCTTTTACTTCCAGAGTCATGAACAGTTGAATCCTGATAAATTAAGACTTCCAGGAAAGTCTGAAAGGTTTGAGGTTCCAGGTTATGGCAACAGATAACTAGAAGCTAGGAAACAGGCCAGTTAGTGCAAAAAAATACGGGTTTACGGTCGTTTCACCAACGTCCTGTTCGCAAACTTTTGAAGTCGTTTCGCGTAAGAGTTGGGTCAGTTCCCTAACTGCTTTCGCTTGATCAGTAGCTGAAAGAACGAGGTATACACATGCGTATCGCGCTTTTTTGTGTCATTGTTGAGAGAACAAAGCATATACATGCGCAGCGCTCGTTTCGCTTCTTAGCGGATCGACATAAGACGTTTGCGAACGGGACGTGAGCGAAAGGACTCGTAGGCGAAACGACCGGTCACCGTGATACGGCTGGTTCCGAAAGTGGGCAAGATGAAGCGAATCCCGTGACAGTTCTATTATTTGAGTTCCTTTGGTAAGACATCATGTCATTAGAAGATTCGCGAGCGAAATGAAAAGTTATCAGACTTTTTGCCCGCTGCGTTTTCATGTTGTAGGTACAGAATTGTCGTATAATAAAATTAACCTTTTCTGTTTTTAGGCTGGTTTGGACATGGCGATTGTCAATGCTGGTAATCTACCATTATATGATGACATTGAACCTAAGCTCCTTAAGTTGTGTGAAGACTTGCTTTGGAACAAGGATCCTAATTGTACTGAAAAGCTTCTTCAGTATGCACAAGTATGTGACATTGGTAAAAAATCAATCTAACCTTGCTTAACAGCTACCTTCACATGACATCCACCAAATACAAAGAAACGGAAAAAGGCCTTATTCCAAGTTGGTAACACTATAGCGCGATTTTCGTATGACCTTGAAATGAAAACGCACGAACAAAACAGAAACAACAAAAAAACGGAAATAGAGCGATATGATTGGTTTATCGAACGGGTAAAAACGCGCGAGACTTTTGGTTGGTTCAGCGAACGTTCGGGTGAAAAGACGTCATGCCCAAGAACTTTCTAGAAATCAACCGATACTTCGCTTTGACGTCATACTGCAATACGATTGGCCAATCAAACACTGCCTTCTCCATATCAGGTTTTCTTTGGCGGGAAAGCAAAGAGGCCTTCTTTTGATCTTTTCATTCATTGGCTAATAAAACAAATATCGAACACTTACCAAAACAATTTTTCAAGGTCATACGAAAACTGCTCTATCGTTTGTTTGGTGTAACACTGTGTTTATATTTGCCTCAAACAATGACGTGTTGCGTTCTTTTTTTCTGAATACAAAGGGACTGGGAAAAGGCGCGAAAAAGCAGGTAGTGACAGATGAATGGAGAAATGGAAATGTCGAGGAAAGGCTGGAATATGCTCTGGTTAAGGTAACACCGCCACTGTTTATCATATACCATGATAATCTTCCATTTTGCAACCTCAGATCCCTCACCTTTAGATCTAAGACGAGTACGACAACGAGTACGAGATTTTCTCAATACTAAGTAGTGTTGCGCGCGTGAAACAGCGTCATTTTGGCGGGAAAACGTGGTAGCCGTTGTCACTGTACTACGAGTCTTATAGTGGATTTCCGCTGTCGCGTAATTTTACGTGCGTGTCCACGCACGTAAATTTTAATCACGTAAATAAATAGAGGCAAGATGTAAAGCGTTGATCTTAAACGTGAAGTTGAGCGAGGTTCAACTTTTACGCTTACGTGCGACCTTTCATACGTTGCCTCTACTTTATTTGCTAACGTAAATTATACGCACGTACGCACGTAAACATTACACAACAGTGGAAATCCACCTTTAGCGAGAATGTCGAAGTGGCGGAAACAGGTTATCAAATGTTAGAAGGTTTATCATTCTGCGATCGGGAGACGGCGTAACCTCCTTCACTAAAGATAATCAGTGCTAACTTTTCTAGTGAAAAATGGTAAAATGAAGCTTTCCGGGAAGTCTATATTTCGACGATACGCGAAAAAACTTAAAGTCAAATCTCGTACTCGTAGTCGTTCTCGTCGTCGAATCTAAAGGTCTCTATTCATAAATGTTCATCTTCTTTCAGGGAATTGACAAATTTGTGGTTGAGGATACAGAGGAGGCACGGGCGTGTACAGAGAGATATCCTCGTCCCCTGAACGTGATTGAAGGGCCGCTAATGAAGGTAGGCTCAGTTCCCAGTGCTGAGAAATCATGCTGCAAGTAAAATAGGTAATGGCGTCATTTCGTTGCTCTGACAACTCCGATGTCATTGCAACCCTGATCATAACAAATTTTCATCTTTATCTAATACAACTGTGGTGTCAGTTTTTCCAAATCTTTGTTTATGGCGACGTAGTTTACGCTCAAACTTGGGAGGGTATTGACCCTGAAAAACTGTATCGAGCCACCTTAAACGTTATCAGAACTCTGTATTCGTCACTTTAGAAGAGAGAAGGGAACTGAAGCCGTAATACATCCCATATTTTTTTCTGGAATCGTTTCTGGGGACGTGCGGGTCTTCTCAGTTTTGGCCCATCTTTGCCCCTGTCCCTAGTAACAGTGGCTACAGCGTGGGTGGCGTGATAGCTTTCTCCAGCTTCATATATACCAGTAGTGATCTTGGATAATCAAATCGTTAATTCACATATTTTCGCAGTCTTTTAGTTGATCGAATTTCTGTTCTTTTGCTACAACACGTAAGCTTTGAATTATTAAGTGTGCTTTTCCCCATTCATTGTCAAAGTTAACTTAGCTCTTAGCTTAATTTTGATGTGATAAATGGTCAGCGATTCAGTTTTGCTGCTTGGAGATTATTCTTCTTAACAATCAAACGGAATGTAAGACTGGGCATTAATTTGAGCTTTATTCATTTTCAGGGCATGGGTATTGTTGGAGATCTGTTTGGTGCTGGAAAAATGTTTTTACCACAGGTGAGCTGGCCTGCCTGCCTGCCGATGTTTCCTGTTTCCTTATGTATTTCCACATGATCGTCTCGAACGATTGAGTAGCCTACCATTACAGCCGCTTCTTATTGCTTTCCTCCTCCTGGGACGTTTTGCACGGGTCCCTAGGGGCTGTAGTTACAGGCTAGCGATCAAGATGGTCCCGGCTATTATGTTGAAACTAGACTTACATAGAATACCGTGTTAAATGTACGACGAAAGAAAGTGCTTATCTTAGGAGTGTGCGACCCCCATTTGCCCGTAGAAAACTGGAGATTCTTGCCTGAGATATCTTCTCAGTTTGTCCTAACATTGAATAAAAGGAATTTTGTTTTTGTGGGGAGAACAAAATTGGAATTCTATTTGAGCACGTTTATAAGATCAGTTACAATGCCAGACAAAATAGTTGAAACACTTGGTCGATTTCCCCGCTTCCCCGTTGACAAAGTTAAAAATCGCTTAAGCTTTCCCAAACTGCGCTTTTCAACAACATAGCACGGGTTCGAGGAGACTGCACTGCGCATGCCCCCAATAGGAAGCGTTACAAGTTTTTTTGACGGGAATTGTAGATTTTTCAAAACGAAAAGAGCTTCTGGCAATGAAATCCCGATGTAATGTGGTCAAATATCCTTTTACGCTGTTAGTAATTTAACGTACCAACCTCAAATGAAGCTACTCAGCAGTAGTGCGTTCTTTGATGTTTCACTCTCTGTTAATACATAAAGTGATACAATGTTTGTATGCTCGTTACCTAGGTGATAAAATCTGCTCGTGTCATGAAAAAAGCTGTTGGATATCTCATTCCCTTCATGGAGAAGGAACGGGAAGAAAGACTAGCTCAGATGAACGGCGAGGGTAATACTGTGGAGGATTCACTTGCTGTAAGTGAGAAAGTGAAATTTTGTTCAAATGGACATAGTCAGCTTTGGGACCGCGCTGACCGCGGGAAAACATAAAACGGCTGCCAAGCGCGGGAGAACATACATTTGCGAGTGCTGGAAGCCTGGAAAAATGCGCGGGAAACTGAAACATGTAACCGATAACGGGGAGTCATGTAGTCGGTGCTAAAACAGCCATGCAGTCATTGTCAAAGCGAATATAGTTAGGGAACCAATTTGTCTTGATCGTTTTTGTTTGTTTTGTTGTTGTTGTTTTCTTTTTCCGGAGTGACAAAAAATAGAATCCATTTATGGCTAAGGAGCCACGCAGCTTTAAAAGAAACCTGTATTTTGATTTGCCTTCGAAAACATACCTGCTATTTCTTTAGATAAACGGCTCGGGACATTGCTTGTTCGGTCATTCGTCTATTGTTTCGTTGTCTAATTAAACAACTCCTTCTTGGAGCTTTAAAGCGCCCCGTAGTGGATATGAGAGTTGATGATGGTCATAAATATGACAAAATGCTGTTACTGCCTGAGAACAACCGTACCACTGTACAGAAAATATTAGGCAAGCTTCAAGGGGAATATTAATGTGTAGGCCATGCCAATAGCTCACAAACCTTAATTTGGTGCTCAATGAGAGGATGTGCGCTCGTTTCAAACAACTTGGGGAGAATGCGCAATAGTGACTTTGCGCCGGAAAATTTGCAGCAGTAAAACCAAGATATCGTGTGTGTGCCGTAAGTCAGTATTTTCTGTCTGACTGATTTAAGTCAGCTCTACAATTTTATTGAACTATTACGTATTTGGCAGGCAAGCTGTGGTCGAATGATCTTTAAAGTAAATGTATGAATTTCCATTTCAGAGCCGTTACAATGGAACAATAGTTTTAGCCACAGTGAAGGGAGATGTACACGACATTGGCAAGAATATCGTTGGGGTTGTGTTGGGTTGCAATAACTACAGGTATTGTAATTTGGTTTGTAATTCGTTGACCCACGAAACACTTCCGGGTTCTAAAAAACTGGTTCGTTTTCGCTTATTCGTGCGTTCCTGATAGACTTGGAATTTTGCAGTGGTAGTTCTTTCGTCGAGGGGAAACCCGAGCTACCCAAAGAATGAACCCTTCTGAGCAAGGATGAGAACCAAGAACAATAAATTCAATGCACGTATTGACGTTGCCTTGGAGATTCGAATCCAGGCCACATTAGGTGGCAAGTGAGATGCTCTTACCACTTCACCATCTTCGGATAGCCCACGTTCGATGACTCCGAGTCTTTACGGACGACTCCATTGTTTTGCAATTCCCAGAAGAGACTTGAGCATAAAGAAAACCATTCCAAATATAGAAATATAACCAGAAAGCCTCGGAGTCATGTTAGAATGTTAACATATCGAGCGCAACGTTCCCAGAGTCCTCTCCAACTCGCGCTCCGAGAGACGAGTAGGAGAGGACCCTGAGATCGAGGTTGAAGAGAGCGTTGTTCAAAGCAGAATGGAGTTCTTCTTTTTGCAACGATTATCACAACATACAGGAGCGGTTCCAGAAGAGGGCACAAGACGTAGAACCCCAGTAACTCTGACTCTAACCTGTGAAAGGTCGAGTTAGCGGGGAATTCGAGTAATCGTGGTAAATTTCAGTGAAATTTTGGTCAAGGGAAAGGAAATTTAGGTCGAGTTGGGGGGGGGATTAGAGTTAACCGAGTTCGAGCTATCGAGGTTCTACTGTAGTTGCTTATTGGTCGCAGAACTCTGAGAGCATCTGTATCCTAATATTGAGGCTCTAGAAGACAGGTTTTACTCAGAGATCCAAAGGGGACGTGGCGGACCCCTATGCCCCTTTAAATCCGCCCTTGACTTATGAGTGCGAAACCTGTTTAGTTCAGTTGTGTTACACTACGCAACGTCTCATGAAACTTGTTTCGCAATTGCGCTATAAAATCGCTGAAGCCGTTACATTGAACATTTGCCCAGTGTAACGAGCTCTCTCATTGGGTGTTTTTGTCTTTGCAGAGTGATCGATCTTGGTGTAATGACTCCATGCGAGAAGATTCTACAGACTGCTATTGCCGAAAAGGCTGACATTATTGGCTTATCCGGATTAATTACACCGTCTTTAGATGAAATGATTCACGTCGCTAAAGAAATGGAAAGACAGGGACTAAAGATTCCGCTCCTCATCGGAGGTGCCACGACATCAAGGTATTTACAAGTAAAAATTCCCAACCTGGTACACTTTTCTCGCCTTAATGTAGAATAAACTTCGATAACGCTGTCCTCTGGCTAAGGGGTAACCAGGCCCCAGTTGTTAAAAATGTTGGATAACGCTATCCATGGGATAAATCTCTTTCCACTGGATAGCGCAGTTGGTTTCCCTTATACTTATCCACTGGATATTAATTTACCGGTGGATAGGGTTATCCATCTTTTGAACAACCGGGGCCAGATCCAAAAATCCTTCGTCAACAATAGATTTATCCAGATTTATCAGTGGTTTCTTGGTTTGGCGGACGGCCTCCATCACGAAATGACTTACTGCAAAGATTGAAAAGGCACTGACAGGAGCCCATAACCCGGAGCGAGCAACTCCTATACTAAGCCTATCTCACGGCGTTTTTAAGGACCAGTTTATTTTTACACACATGTAAGCGAACTTTTCCCCGCGAAAATAGAATCTCCACCATGTTTATGAGCGCATTCGAAGATATCAAAAAGGAAACTAAACGTTATGAAAAGGCAAAAAATATCATTTTAGGTCTGTAGGTTTTGCTGACTAGTTTGTGGAATTTGAAAGATATTCAAAATTTGCACCAAAACCGTTCTAAAAATAAACTGGTCCGTGATAACGCCGTGACACGAGCACATGAAAGTTGCTCGCTCCGGGTTATGGGCTCCTCGCATTGAACAATGCCTACACTACAAAACAAAAGGAAACAACAATACTTTCCGCAACATCAAGAAACACCCGAGTTATCCATTGGGATCTCCGTTTCAAAAAACCAAAAACACAATACCAAAAAATACTTGTCTTATTTATTTGTTTGTATAATATCAGGACTCACACAGCTGTGAAGATTGCCCCACGTTACAGCGAACCAACGGTCCACGTGTTAGACGCCTCAAAGAGCGTAGTAGTGGTAAGAGAACAGTTGTTTTTTACTCATTTCATCAAAGACTATAACGTGAAGGGTGCGCGAGTGGAGAGGAATTTTCCTTTCCTTCCTCTCGCGCGCGCCTTTCGCGTGTACGTGCGCCAAATTCCCCCTGTTTCCTTCTGCTTTGCAGGATATTTCATGTCGTGTTACCATATTTGGTATAAATTTAATGTGCCATTACTCATGTTTGCTAAAGGGGTTTTAAACGTTTTTTACGCTTTGTGCCGAGTAAAACTCAAGCCTTATAATAAACTGTCCTATTTCATCGTAGTGCTCCGCTTTAATAGACGAGAATTCAAAAGAAGATTTTGTAGATGAAGTAAAAGAAGAATACGAAGAAATCCGGGATGAGCATTACGATTCTTTGAAGGTTAGAAAGTTTCTTTTTCCATTTGGTGGAAAACGCTTTTTCATTCCGGCATACCACAATTGCATTGAAAACGTGCAATCACGAAGAGGCTGCCAAGGCTAGGGTGAGCGGGGTTTGGAAGGACAGAAAACGTGGAACCTAACGAGTATGAAGCGTGGAGAAATACGTGCTGTCACCTACGCCATTTCCGAGCGTCAGGACGAGCGACAGTACATTTGAAACCGCTTAAAAGCGCGGGAAAAATGCATGCCAGCGCGGGAAATCGTGCAGCCGGCGCCAAGCCTGCAACAGGTATGAAAGACGGGACAATTTACTGCGTGACGTTATGATCTGAAAACATGCTAGTGGTTTAAGCGCCGGAAAACGGAAGACTGTTGATTTTTTTTGTGTGTGTTTTTTTTACAGGATCGTAAATACCTATCTCTGGAGAAATCACGTTTAAAGAAAGCGAACTTGGATTGGATTGACTTCAAACCAGGTAGAAAAGAAGCGTTTTTGTAGTTCTTTTTCCTTTTGCAGCCTGTAGTATTCTAACAGCCTTTTCTGTGTTTTGAGGATCAGAAAGGGATCCAACGACAGCCCTTGGCCTTTCAAAACAACCTTTTTGATAGTACTTTCCAGTGGTACTGTTATTATTACACTGTTCTGTTTTGGTTTTGCCGGGAAGGGGGAGGTGGGGGGATAGTGTTAAAGTAAGAAACCCGTAAGAAATTGTCAGAGTGTCCCACAATTCCCAAAATTGTCTTCGATATAACCCATATTGGAAGAGCAGAGTATAATTCGGCGCTTCATTTATTTCAGAGTGTATCTGCTGTATACCGTTAATCTGCTTATTATGCTATAAAATGTGATTCTGATTTTTGAGTCTTTAGGGACTGGTCAAAAAGTATAGGGGAGCGGGGCGGGGGGCGGAGCATTTGGAAATGTAGTTGATAAAAAACACATGACCCACCCCCTCCCTTCGGCACAAAAATGACTGACCCACCCCTAAAGCAAGGTTGGAAATTGCATGACCCACCCCCTAGTTAAAATATGGATGTTTGGTTTCCTTTAAGGCCATCCCCTTTTCTTTCTGCGTTTACCGTCGAATGCGTTTCCTGATATTGGGTCGGTAGGTAGGATTGAAAAGAAAAACCTAAAAAAAAATCACAAGAAGTCTCGGAATAGTAGGCCCTGGTACCCCGGGACGATGTTAAAAGTTAACATTCACATATTTGGATTAACAAAATGTACAATATACTGTGAAAAATGTTCATGTTTTTGTTCCTGTTTTTCTCTATGCTGTTACTATGCTCATTTTTCAGATTAAAAGAATTATTTGAAGTGAAAAATGGTGTAACTACGTCGTTAGTTTTTTTTTTTTGAAAATGCCAAAAATTTGGGTCGGTCGGACGAAGGTAAGCGGAGAAAGAAAAAGAGGATGGCCTAACCTTGTTCTGTGCTTGACAAAATTTGTTAATACACTGCTACAACCAATATCAAAATCACAGAAATCATACTTTTCACTGAAAAGACAAATGTGAAAAACCTAACATTCTTGTTTCTAGGGACGTTATGAGTCTTGACACAAATATACAGCAAAACGAGGGTATATTGAAATTGTCTGTCACAAAGCATATGAAAATTTCTACAAAGACAACCCATTCCTACACATTACTTGCCGGAAGTTCTTAGATTAATCCTCAAAAAAAATTTCTTCCACTTCAATGGAAAGCACTACCCAGAAAACCATGGAACTGCAATGGGTACAAAGACAGTAGTTTTGATTCCTTTGCCAATATTTTCATGACATATATTGAAAAAACAACTCTAAGCAAAACTGTCTTTAGAACAACAGTTTGGAAATGCTACATACACGATATCTTTTCCCTATGGGACATGAGTAAACCAGACATCGAAGCCTTCATTGAACAAGAAAACTTACATCACCCAACTATTAAATTCACTGCCGAAAAATTTGACACTGAGATGCAGCGTTTTTAGACACGGTTGTATACAAAGGCACAAGATTCAAGAAAATATCTATCCTTGATGCAAAGACACATTTTAAACAAACAGAAACCTTCTTGCACACACATTTCACCTCGTGTCACCCTCCAAGTGTAAAAAAAGGATTTGTCAAAGGAGAAGCCTTGAGAATCCTACGAAAAAACTCCTCAGAAACAACCTTTGAGGAAAAATTTAAAAAAAAGGCTTGATGGACGAAGGCTACCCACAAACTTTGATAGAAGACCTACTATCAGAAATAAAATTCACAAAAACGAGTCTAAACTCCGAAAACAAAACATACAAGGAGGAAAAAGAAATATTGCCATTTGTGACACAATACCAACCCTCAGTGTCTACTATAAAGGAAGCTTGAATAATAAAAATGGAATCTTAGACAAAACCAACCATAACTTCAATAAATTTTTAAGGAACCACCAATCACTTCCTTACAAAAAAGGAAAATCATTAAAGGACATGCTCGTTAGAGCCAAAAAAAAAAAAAAAGAATAACAAAGGGTTTCACGCCCGTATAGATGCATCTGCGGCCTGTCACCCGTTGCATTTTCTCGCACAACAGGTTTGTGAGTATTTTAGCAATAACTCCAGCTGGCTGTGTTTTATATAACAAGTGTGGTCAACTGTCTCGTTAGTAGTTAGTGCCTATCTATAAAATAAAATAGGGTGACCCACCCCCTAAGGGTAGCTGAAAATTGCACGACCCACCCCTTGCACAAGGCTCAAAACCTCATGACCCACCCCCTCTCTGCTCCGGCCCACCCCCGCCTATACTTTTTGACCAGTCCCTTAGAGAAAATTCTGAAGTGCGACCATTCAAGTGAAAACAACTGAGCAGTACTTTCCTGTAGTACTGTTAATTGTTCGTTACGAGGGAGTGCTAACTTTTGATTGTTAGGGTAAAATCCTAAACGGCAAAAGGTTCTCGTACACTTTGAGTGTTATCAGTAAATCCATTTTGTACTGCTTTTCAGTTCGTCCGTCGTTCTTGGGTTCGAAAGTGATAGATGACTGTGAACTGAGTGAGCTCATTCCTTACATTGACTGGAAGCCTTTCTTCGATGTATGGCAGCTGAGAGGAAAATATCCCAACAGGGGATATCCAAAAATCTTTCAAGACAAGACAGTCGGTAAGCACACACCCGACCCTGACTACGTGTCCTGCTTATTCTACGGTGATTAAGAAGTTTCTTTTGCAAGAATGTACAAGTAAAGTCACGCGGCTACTACAGTCTACCGCGGTACAACCGTGCAAGGGGTGGGATGTAGGATTTGCACCCCTTCCTCACCCCGTTGGGGGCGGGAAAGCGGTGCTACTGTGAATCTTCTGATCGTAGGGAGCTTAAGCAACAACAACGGCAACGGCAGCGAAAACGTCACTAAGAAAGCGGGCTTCGTGCTATTTCAAACTTTTTTTCTCTTGTTCCATTTCATACAATTTTTTTAATGTTGGGGAATTCTTATAGAGTGGATTCTGAAGGACTGTATTTTTAGACGTTCACAAGAAGAAAAAGAACATCTTTTTTTTTGTGTTCACGTCCTCCATGAAACGTGAAACTATGAAGTTTCACGTCGTAGTTGTGCAACGACGGTAAAGAAATGCACTAAAAAGCGTGATGAACGTGCAGGCTTGTTCCAATCTAAACGTACTCCATTTTTGCCGTTCTCGTTGTCGTCGCCTTCGTCGTTGCTTAAGCTCCCTAATATCTAGATGACGAGCTGGGTGTAGCCTGCGAAAACATCCGTTTCTCCTCGCTCTTCGTCGCTGGGGACGTTTCGCGCGGAGGAACGTCTGCGACTCAGCGACAGAAATTCCATACTGATGACGCAAATCAATGTTTACATAATAAATCCGGTAGTCATGGGGTTCCAAATATAAATTTGTCTAATTTTGCGTGTCTTCTGGTCGATTTTGGTAAAGTGTTGTGTTGATCTGCCCACGAGCTCCAGCAAAACTCAAATGCTTCTTCTAGAGAAGACTATATTCCACAAATATTAACTGTTTTGTTAGAGATTCTTTGCGTTTACATTTGACCTTTGTGGCCTTTTGTCTTTTGTCTGTCATTCACAAACAATAGCTAAAACAATGTAACTGCTGCGTCGACCAATCAGCGCTTCTGACCGGATTCCGGACAGATTTTACGTCATCAGTATGGAATTTCTGTCGCTGAGTCGCAGACGTTCCTCCGCGCGAAACGTCCCCAGCGGCAAAGAGCGAGGAGAAACGGTTGTTTTCGCAGGCTAAGCTGGGTGCGACTAGCCTTGTAAAACGCTTCGCTTAAATTGTGGTGGGAGCATTTTGCACGTACAGAGTACGCAAAACTCGCTTTTTTGATAAATTTGGGTCGATGACGGTGACCTTAATGTTCGTCACCATAGCAAGTCAATGCCGCCAAGCTATGCCGAAATGCGTCGACGGAGTGAACTTAACAGGCAGTGATGACGGGGTGTGTCGTCAAGGATCGTCCGAAAAAGTTTAATAAAAAATTATGTTAGAAGGCCCATTTATTACTTGTCCAAGAGAAAGTATCCTTCTTGTTATTGAAACAGGCAGTGAAGCGAAAAAACTATTCAACGATGCTGAAAGCATGTTGGAGAAGATCACTAAAACCAAATCTCTATGGCCAGTCGGAGTGGTTGCTTTCTATCCTGCCAATAGCGTCGGTGATGATATCCACGTGTTTGAGGATGATGATGCTAGGAAGGAATCACCACGTGCCGTGTTCTATGGCTTGAGGCAACAGGTTAGCGAACAATGTCAGACGCTGGTATCCGTTATTTCAAGTATAAATGGTACAATATGAATAAGTCTTGAAGATTAGATATCACCTCTTTGTATTTTGTTCGTGTTGAATTTCGGCCATTTCGAATAACTTAGACGTGGTGCTATTGCTAGCGTAAAATTGTCCACCAGTGTAGAGTCCTATACTAAGGGTAATTCACAGTGGACAACGTTTCGTACTGTTTGACAACACCCGGGGAATATTGCCTTTTGATTCTGTTTTTTTGCCTTTAGCTGTTTAAGGTTTGCACGCGAGTTTTCTCTTTTGCGGCGTTTCGACCTTGCGACCAGTTTAAACGAGTTACTAAGCTACGTTTGCCGTTGACTCTCACCTTGTATGACAGAGCTTGGTAAAAGCAGAAATTTGTATCGCTTAAATCAGCTGAGGTTTTTTCGGACTCTGTCAACTTATCCCCGAAGACGCATCTAACGAAGGTAAAGTTTCTACGGATAAGGTGACTGTTCAAGCTTTTATTTTCAGGCCGAGAAGGAGCCTGGTGTCGAGGATCCATACTATTGCCTGTCAGACTTTGTAGCACCGCTGGATACAAATGTCAAGGACTACATCGGCTGCTTCGCTGTTTCGGTCATGGGAGCCGAGGAAATGGCCAAAAAGTAAGAAGAAGTAATTTACCAAGAATGTTGATGTTTAGTAGACGGTACTTGGAAAACATTGTAAGGAAATGTAACTACTTCGATCCGATATTCCCTTGAATTACAACTTGAAGTAAACATTCTCCTTTCACAGATTTGATGAGGAAATGGATGATTACAGTGTCATAATGGTTAAAGCTCTTGCAGACCGCTTAGCAGAGGTTCGTAATCAGTAAATCGTCGTACATTGTTTCATCTCAATGTCTTTTATAAACTGAAACATGTGACATGTGTATTGTTTTGTTCGTACCAGGCTTTCGCCGAACAACTCCACGAACGCGTTCGCAAAGAGTTGTGGGGTTATTGCAGCGATGAATTACTGGATGCTAAAGATATGCATAGGATCAAGTATCAGGTGGGTTTGATTACAACATCTCTTATTTCTCTAAGACAAAAGAGTTTTTACTTCTATTCCTAAGGTGGCCGAGTTTTTCCATATTATTTTTCAGCACTTAAAAGTTTTTCAATGGCAGATGCAACGAAAATGTTCCCAAATGAATGCTTAGTTGCTAGGGAACAAGAAATATTTGTCATCTTCCGTAGCAACGGGACCACCTTTTTTATGACCGTTTATTTAATTTCATCTTCTAATAACTCGAAAACGAGCACAGCTTGATCAGTTTGAACTTTCTGCAAAACTGAAAAAATCTTTGGAGAGAGTAACAGAACTTCCTTTAAATTTCCACGAGTTAATATTGCCTCTAAAGTGTCGGGGGCTCAATTTCGATTTGCGATCGAAATATCCCTCTCTTTTGCTAGGGCATTCGACCTGCTCCAGGTTATCCGAGTCAACCAGACCACACAGAGAAACTCACGATGTGGGAGTTGATGAACTGCGAGAAACTCAGTGGAATCAAGTTAACAGAATCGCTCGCCATGGACCCTGCCGCTTCTGTGTCCGCCGTCTTCTTTGCTCATCCTAAAGCTGTTTACTTCTCCGTAGGAAAAATCTGCGAGGATCAGGTATGACATTACAACGTTAGATCTTGTTTTGTGTATTTTACAGTTAGTGAGTAGTCTGAGTAAGGAGAATATAAATGATAGTGTTGGCGTTGATTTTTGGGATCATTTTACTTTTCTGGGAAACTGCCCACCTACCCCTCCCCAAAGCCAACATTGTTACTTACTTCTCACTTAGGGAAAAATGCTGGCTTAGGGGAGGGGTAGGAAGGCAGTTTCTCAGAAACGTAAAATGATCCAACTTATGTAGATCCGCAAAAGGGGGGGGGGAGGGGAGAAAAACAGCGAAAGGGGAAAAGGAGGGAGAGCGTCCCTTCTCTCTTTCTCTCTCCAACCCCTTTTTTCGTCTGCCACATAGGCTCCGCTGTATTTTGTCCCGTAGCCCCAGTTTTTGCCTGGCTTGTCGGCAAATAACCATTCAATTAAGCCTGTCAATTACGAAGACCAGGACGTGTAATAGCTAATGTAGCCTTAGGCTTTCTCGTCTGTAGATCTAGGCTTTTTAATGTAGAGTGATGTGACTATATTCAAGTCAAATCTCTGACTCTGGCAGTAGGTTCACCTGGTATTCCTATTTTCCCGTATTTTAGAAGGTGAAATTTAGAAGTCTTCTTCAATCGATTAAGTTTTGAGTTCTCTGTTGACATGTATTTGATGCATGAGGAATTTTAGAGAAGTTATTTTCTAACGCTTTGGTCCTTTTCTGCGTCGCTTCCAGGTCAAAGATTACGCGAAGAGAAAAGAAATGCCGGTTGAAGAAATAGAAAGATGGCTCTCGCCTATTCTATCTTACGACAGAGATTGAACTGCCAGAAGCGAGGAAATCTCTTAAATCTCTTTTTATGCTGTTCATCAACTCCAGTCGCAGAAGACGGGTGTTGATCTTGTGCAGACGATCTTCAGGATTGTGCGAAGATTTTATCAGTGGATCTTTGATACGTTTGTTGTTGTGGATTGCACAACTTGTCATTTGATCTCTTGACGAAATATTTAAATGATGTATTTTTTAACACTAAGGGCTTGGAAAAACCGGATTGTTTGTGATATTCGCAGAAACTCTAACGTATTTATCAGTGTTATCGGGCCAGAATACAAGACTTGCTGAGAAGAGCCGTTTAACACAACGTAGGGGACGGGATATCGTCTTGTGGTAAATTTTGATCACCAATGTTCTTTGCTCTTCTTCTGATAAGAAATACGTAATATATTCAAATACGATATTTATATTTTATTTTAAAAATACTTGTGACGTTTGGTCGCTGTAAGAGCGTGTTTTCAATCGAACTGTCACTCTGGAGCCTGACCAATCACAATAAACCCGCACAACCCAACGAACCAATCAGAGCTCGAGGTGAAGACATGTTGAGGGCGCTGAGGCCGGGAAAGCCAGTGTTTCCGGTTTAACACCTGATTTGCTGAGGAAGTGGCGGGGATATTTTAACCAATAGAATGACGTAAAATTTCAGAACCACCAAATGTGCGATTAACTTCAGACAGGGTTAAAACTTTTCTGTCTGCAGACCGGCTAAATCGTTCCGCGCAATTAGATGATTTAAAAGAAAATCTGATATGCGTTTTACAGGGTTTTATATGTACCGGTAATGGCGTTGTTTCAATTCGTTGTAAATGGTATACTTAATACACAGACCGTTAGTGATTAAAACAATGTATAAATTCGGTAAAGTTGACCAGTTGATTTTGCATCGGAAGCTACCACATTATTTGTCGACGATTTGTATTTCCTCTTTGCTGACAGTCCCTTTAGGAATTTCTTTAACCCTATATCGATCCATGTAAGGCCCTTTCAAACGTCGAGCCACTGTTGTGCCGAACTCAATTGATGGAATTAAATTCGACTTTAGCACGGCAATACCGCGACGTTTGAAAACAAGTCGTGCTACTTCCTTTCGGTTCCGAACTCAATTCATAAGTTATAAATACATTAGAACACATTTAAAGTTTGCTTAACCGTTTCTTTATCTTTGTGTTTTGTTTTCGGCAACAGCCGTTCTATTGGACTGAATTCGACGTCTAAAACCAAGTCGTGCTGCAGTCGAGCTTCAGTCGAGCCAGTTAGCACGGCAGTAGCACGACGTTTGAAACAGGCCTAAGGGAATTCGGATACCAGAATGTGCAAAATTTTGGCATGTGGAATCCATAATCCAAGGAAATTTTGCGATTGGAATCCGGAATCCTGGGCTTTGGAATCCGGAATACAACTCTAGTAATCCGGGACACATTAACGATTGGAATCCGGAATTCAAGTTCCACTGACAAAGACTGGAATCCAGTTCCTGGAATCTGGAATCCACAGCGTGGAATCCAGAATTCAAGACTGTACATGGGGCAACCTCTACGTCCCAAGAGTGACCAACATCCATTGCCTCCTAACAATATCAATACATAATCAAGGAAAAGGTGATGAGAATATTTGAAATGATCACCAAAGGGGAAATGCTTTGATCTTTTGTCAAATTCTTTCAATGGATTCTGAAAGAAAATGTATGGAGACCAGTGTGGAGAATTTGTATCTGGATATTGGACCTTACAGGGTCAAAGGTTTTCTCTTCTATGTAGAACTTGTGCACCAATGTACGACGTCACAACAGTGACCAAGGTGGTTTACCATGAACAAAAAGTTCTCTGAAAATTGCGGTCGGTGGAGCAAGTGGAACATAAGTATTCCGGTGGATCCAATGGAAAAATTCCGGAAGCATCGAGACTTCTGAAAAGGTAGTCCTGTTTACTCGGACGGAATGTTCCAAACGGAAATTAGCAGCGCATGCAGCTCTCCCAGTTTGCTTGCCCGGGGCAATTACTTGCTTGTCTTAGTTAATGATGGCACCGCAGAAATACGTTTTGTGACGTCACAGCACCTGGTCAGCGGTATTTGAGTTTGTTCGATCGGATGAAAGAGATCGCTTCCTTCGCTGCGTCTCCGCTTGCACGTGTTTATGAAACGTTGAGGCCGTGTTTATTGTGGAATTTCACGAGCAGTCTTCGCCTTTCTGAGACTAGCTTCCTTTAATCATGTTAAAAGATCGTGACCGAACTAAAGAACCAGTAAATACCGTTAAAGCGAAGTAACTTCGTGTAGGCGCGTTGCCTGGATGCGTGTCAGTACAATGTGCCAGAAGCTACATTGGGGAGCCAGAAAAACAGAAGATTTTAAACAAGAAAGACTGGGAAGGTTTTTAAGTGTAGCATTTGCATTTATAACTTGCAATAAAGGTAAGACGCTTTTTGAGAATTCATAAATAATTTTATTGGAGGCGCTAAGCTTACTCAGCTCAGCTACCGTTGAATCGAATGTTAGAATTTAAGCTTAAGACTTAAAAATAAACGTAAGTTTAAATAATCTGCAGTTTCATACCCATGCCTTTGTCGACTTGGTTTAGCCGTCGACTTCTATTTACATATCAGTGATAATTTTTGCTTTCCGTTTCACATTAAGCTTAAACAATATTATTAGGGGTATACAGTGTAATCTTAATTACAGTATAAACTTAAGCTTTAGCTTAAGTATTATTCATGTTTTCTCGAAACATTAGACTGCCGTCTTACAAACAGTGCATCATTCATAGTCGCTAAAGACATTACTATACATTTCATTTTTTACACTTTATGCACTCTCACATTTTCTGAGTTATATTTACCAATAGACCCTTGACGCGTTTATTTTGTATATGTTGTAGTTCTGTGAAAAATGACCTTGCTACATACATGTATACACAGTACCTTTGACAACTGCATTCATCAACAGTCGATGTATATGCAGGAAGGTCAATAATTTTTATAGTTTTGACTGCAAGTTGTAAGTGAGTTCAACAGTAGTCAATTGACCTCTAAAGTGATATCAGTCTCCATTTTTTAAATCAAGTGGCAATATTTTTACACCTTTTGTCATGATTTCATACACAAGAAACCGCCTACTCTTCATGAGATTCTGCCTGGGCATTGACAGCCAATGTAATCTTATTAACTCTTTCTCTGATGTACTCAATGAATTGTGGTGACTTGAAATACTTGTGGTCTTTTGGTACATCAGGTATTTCTGGAATGGAAGAATTGTTGCCATCATCGTCATCATCATCGTCATTGCCATCACCACCATCTTCCTCAACTTCATTCAGACCGGACAAAAGGCGAACGTTCCAGGCTTGGGACAGCTTCTGGATATCAGCAGTCAAGTTACGAAGACAAATGATGCATCCAAGACTGTTGCCATTCTCATCAGACATGCAGGGAGAATGGAATGTATGGCCACATGTCAGTCGCTGGATGTTTGAATGAGAAGGATGATGGCATGCTTCTGCATCACAGTCTAGCTGAGGATTTGGTCGGCTAGAAGGCCATCTGTACCCTAGAGGTAATGACTTCACAGTGAATTCTGTCTGAAAACTTGCTAGGTAGTATGGTGCTTTTCCATATGGACGGCCAGCTCTGTTTAGTGGTCTTGGAAGCATGTAGGATTTACCCAGATTCAATGCAACTCTCTCAAACATAGCCATAATGCCTTCAGATGCTAAACCTGAAAAAATCATACAATTTGAAAGAAAATCATCATTAAAAAAAAATTTGTCTTTCGTAACAGGCATGTAACATTGTAGGTTGAAAGTACAACAATCAGTCTTTTCACTGATTTATATGTTGTGGTTATTTTATCCTTGGTTTAAATTTTATTTTTCTTTGTTTTTGGGTATGGTAATGTATGATGATAAGTTTTAAACAAAGGAAAATAAAAATTTAAACCAGGGATTAAGTTAAACCACAACATATATAGACATGGAGGCTTTTATTTACCTGAAAGCAAAAGCAAGTCTTGGTCACTATATCCTCTTACACATTGTGGAACATAACTTCTTTCAAAGCCATCCTCTTCAAAGTTTGATCTGGCAATAAGTCTGGCTGTTTCTTGAATTTTTGCTCCTTTGTCTGTCTTTCTTATTTTGGATCTTAACTTCGAATGAAAGATTTCAACCTTCTTTTCATTCAGGACTGGACATAAGGTACCCTTGGCATCATAATATTCGGGAAAGTTTGTCTGCTGGTGCTGTACATCGCTGAGCCATGAAAGTGATGCTTTATTGTAGTGATGGCGGTCCATGGCTACAAACATGATGGCCAGGCGCTTCATTGACGATGTCAGCTCTTCAAATTGCCCTCCTCTAACTATAACTGGGTAGTGCAGGAAACACAAAGGAATAAGCTCCTCAAAGAGATGAAGTAGGCAAGTATATTCAGTGTCCTTGCTTAGTCCGAAGGCCTGAATAACCTGGCTACGGATGTTCAGCCAACCACAGAATGATAGTGTGATACACAGTGCTACTTTATCTGGCCTGGGCTTTTCAGGCAGTCTTACCCTTTGGCCAAAAACTGATCCATAGATCTCTTTGAAGATGGGATAATACTGCTTTACAACATCTTCTGAACTATTCAAGTAGACATGAAACTGTCCCAGCTCAGGAATCAGGGATGTAATTTCTTGATCCAAGTCAGCATGGCAAACAATCTTCTTCTGATGGTACCATGTGGGCCAGTCACCAACTGTAGGTGCCACATGTAATTTTAGGAAATCTCTGAACTCTGGAATGGTGTCAAAAATGTACTGATGACAGGCCTGGTAGTCATCTTTACTGTGCAGATTTTGTTCGATTTCATCGATTAGTATGGTGGATTTTAACGTTTGGCATTCTTCATGGTCCTCTCTTGAACAGACTCTGCAATAAAAAAGTCATATGTGGCTAAGTGTTAACATTTTAGTAAAAAAGGAATTTACAAGGTAACTTCTAGTAGATTAAATAAATAAATTATGAATTCTTATATTTTTGAACTGCAGCTGAAGATATGGAAGTGAATGTGATCCTCACAGTTGAATGAAGAACATTGTAAGTGTAATTACACTGTAGCCTGTGTTGTACATGTAAACAAACCAAGTTTAGGTTTAGTTTCGTCTGCAGCACAGGCTACCTACAAGTAAGTAGCTGAAAAAATAATTCAGGCTTGACTAGAGAGTTAACTCTACCAATCAAGGCAAATAGGGCAGTCACACTGCAGTTCTTATTATACCAGGTGATGGAAGTGACATTTTGGACTTCTAGTAAAAGAATTTAGTCTACTTGCTTACCGTAGTTCCTTCATGGACTGCTGCATCCTACATAGATCGATCTCCTTGTATGGCAGAGGCAAACTCTCCAAGAAAAAGCGTTCACTATAGTGTGGCCAGAATTCCCTCATTTCATTAACCACTGCATCACTTGAAATTCCACCTCTGCAGACCTTGGGTGCACCACCACCTTCTGAAACCATGACACATCGGTGGATGTTGGCTGGCTCAATGGGACGAGGAACTGCGAGAACAGAAGACTGGATGTCCAAAAGAAGAGTCGCCATGTGAACAGCATTGGTGAGTATTCTTTTGGTTGGTGTTTTTATTGCATTAATGTTATGGAAATCGTCCATAGATAGTATCTGAAAGGATTTCTGTTAAGACAAAGTTGAAAAGGAAAGAAAATGATTAGAAATAATTATATTATACTTTATAAAGATCTCAAAATCACAGGCTTAATTTGTAGGTAGAAAATGCTTTTTTATCATACGGATTGTTGTTGTGTTTTGTAACTACATTGGTGAGGACCTTTAGGAACATTTTTTTTCAATTTCTATCATGTATTATTTTTACCTTTTGAAAAGCTTCACAAGCCATTTGTTTAGCCCTCGTCAAATGGTCAGATGCCATTTTGTGCTTCTGATGAGTCTTGGTTTTTTCATCTCTTGCAAATCCCAACACTTTACCAAGGGCCATACCACTAGATGACAGACCATTAAGTTCCAAGAAGATGGAGCTTTCATCCATAAATTCGCCGTGTCTCTGATTTCTGAAAGTCATACCAAATAGACTTGACACATTTAGCATTAGTAAGTCACATATTTTCCGAAAAAACTCGGAAATAATACTGAACTCTCAATCTCAGCGCTTGTATATTCCATAGAAAGTACTTCACGTAGGTACGTTTACAGACAATTATTATACATAATGTAGTGTAGATCAGTATTGTAATATAATTATCTACAGCGGAAGATGATATTCAAGTCAGGAAAAAAGTGTTACTAGTACTAAATCCCCACCTTTCCCACAATATTGCTATAATGATGTCTCCCCACTTCTGCCTCCAATGATCATGAGGTTTGGATAAGATTCTTTGAATGGGATTCCAGATAAATCATTTGTGAATGCTTTAGGCCTTGTGACTTTCTATATATGTAGTTACCAAAATTATTGCACCCTTAAGTACCTGTAATATAGAAGCTGCCATATAAGGGCTGTTGTTCTCTTCTCTTGCAGGTTGGCCCTTTTTTCACCATGACGCTCTGACAAGATACTGTCAAGGATTTCCTTGTATAGTGTAGGGGCATTGGACTCGAGGAACTCTTTAAAAACTGGTTGACTCACTAATCTTTTTCGATCTTCACATTTGTCCATTTGTCTACTTAGGGCATCAACTTGTTCTTTGAATGTGGGTTCTGTCACAGTTAATGACTGATTAGTACTAAGAATTATTGCTTTAAAATACCTTAAAGATGTGTTACAAATAGATGTAATTCAAAAATCCTTTATTATAATATACATTGTATTATATATCTGATATGCTAATGATGTGACCAATTTTCTTAGCCAAAATAACCCAAATCTAAATACATGTATTAGTGCATGAATGGATAAATGTGCCTCGAGAGATTTTTAAGCTGTTTGATAATAAAGTCACAGTTCTCTCTTTATTAAGTCTAAAACACTCAGCTGTGACTGGTGTTTTAAACTTGATAAAGCATTCCTGCTTGTTCATTAAACTGTACACATTATTTTTATTATTTTTTATTATAACCATGAAGCCCCTAATTTAGGAATTATATGTGTGGTGGTTTAATTTTATCCTATGGCTCAAATTTATTTTTCTTTGTTTTGGGGTATGGTAATGTGTCATAATGAGTTTTAAACAAAGGAAAATAACATTTGAACCAACGATAAATTTAAACCGCAGCATAAAAGTTATGTTTTTGGCATGAACATAATAATAGTACTGCATTATCTCTAACAACACTCAAAGTAAGGGTGTCTACATTCACCATTTAACTTTTCCTGAATATTTTTCCATGTGGATGCTTCAATCATGATGTCACCATCTTCCCCAACCAACATTGGACCATACTGCCCTTCTGCAATAGTCCAGTAATGAGAATTCTGCTGATGGCACACAAGAATAGAAAATATGAAGAGTCAAAATTAATGTTTCATTTTGTTTGAAATACATACAAGTACTCTACTCTTTAAAGCCAGTACAGGAAATTATTTTATAAAACACAGTCACTTAAGGGATGCACCATTAGAAATGTGAAGGGGGGGGGAGTCCAAAAACAAACAAAAAAATCCTGCAAAACAAAATTTTAAGAAAAAAAAATCCTGCATTGCAACGAAACCAGAAAAAAATATCCTGCTTGGATAACCAATGTGACTGCGACAATATATTACACAGTCTGAAAAATAAATCTGTGATCTGTAACAGGAAATCCCCTTCCCCCAACTTCCTAAATTCATGTCAAACTACATTTCAGGCAGAAAAAACAATTTCTACTGGCTAAATAGAGATTTCAATTTGAACCAACTCTGATGCCCTTGATCTCTATAGCTGCCATAGTATTAAATTAAGAGACTGTGGTGATAATTGTTTAACTTTATAAATTAAATAAACTTTTTTATTGAAATACTTTTGTTTTAATGGGATTAAAGTGAGATTGTGTTAACAACGTCAATAGTTCCACTTGCACGCAAGTTTATGGAGTTGGTGTTGTACAATATGCGTTGCTACTTGAATCCATAAAGTTTACAGCTATAAACAAAAGTAGATGTCCCAAAAACACCAATCACACTGCAGATCCCGCTGCATTTAAAAGTATTAAGAATATTATTTACCCAAACTAACACAAAATATTTTGAATGCTTTGCAAAACCATAAATAGAAATGGTGCATTCTAATAAAAACTTGAACCTAAACATATGGGCCACAGACATATGGTAGGATTTAGAGGAAATGTTCTTCAAGTTCTTCCTCTGTATCCCAGTCCTCGCCTGATGAAGACTGACATGCTGGCTGCAGTTTTACTTCTTCTTTTTCTTCTTCTTCTTCTTCTTCTTCTTCTTCTTCTTCTTGTTGTTCTTCTTCTTCTTCCTTTTTCTTTCTGTTTTTCTGTCTCTTGTCTTCCCTCAGGTTCTTTCTCTGTGTTCCAGTCCTTGCATGATAAGGACTGAGATGCTTCTTTCCTTCTTTCTGTTTCTCTGTTTCTTGTCTTCCCTCAGGTTCTTTCTCTGTGTTCCAGTCCTCGCCTGCTTGAAATTTCTTCTTTTGTTTTTCTTTATTTTCCTTTAGAGCATTCTTCTTCCTCTTTCTTCGCAATACTTTACTTTGGGTAAAACACCGTTTGATCTGCTTGTGTAGCTGTTTCAACTGCCACTGAACTCAGTTCGGACGTTTGAACGTATAGATTACTTCATGGGCAGCGCGGGCGTACGGTATTTACGCACGAGTTGGTTCGCATCAGAAATTGAACGAGCAAGGCTTTGCGAGTGAGATCCAGAAAGCGAGAGAGATTTATCTGACATACAATGCGAAAAAAGTCCATGTCTAACACTGCACGTGTTTAGGTGTCCTATTACATTATGTACTAAACATCTGTGACTGGACGAAACGCTTTTTTTCACGTGTGTGAAAGTCGTTTCGCCATTCTGATTGGCTGCGAACCCTGAACAGGGTTTTCACACGCCAAATTTCAATAGAAAACCTCAATTAGTATGAAAAAAATATACTTAAAACAAACGTGTTCTGTTGGAACACTACAACAAAAAACATTTGCGCGGTTGAAACAGTCTAGTAAAACAAGACCAAAAGAGGGCATAGTCATTTTGGAAAAAAAAAATCGTGCAAGGGTTTGAAGGTTGAAAAAAAAATCCTGCACTCCTGCTGGTTGTGAAAAAAATAACATGCCTTTCCAGAAAGTCCTACCCCCCCCCTTCACATTTCTAATGGTGCATCCCTAAGAAAATTATTCCTATACCACTGTTTGTGGCTCCAGCTCTGGTTCAGCAGTGGGTCCCACATGTAAAGCTTTGTTGTTTCCTTCAGAAGCCTGAAAAATGATAATTAAATTTTAGGTCAATGTTATCATGTCTTTATAAAATAATAAAGCTTTATGCAGAATTTCATGGTGATTCAGGTTCTCTCTCTCCTTGGAGTATTTTTTACCAGCCTTTTCATTATATTGTTTTGCTATGTCCTTTTTACCACCTGTGCTTCTTAAATATTGGAGATAAAGTTTGATTTCTCTTCACAATAATTATCTCTAACAACCCCAGGGAGAAGAAATGTGAGGGAGAGTACTGGATGCCAAACAGTGTTAAAAATTTTTCTGACAAAACTCTTTTGCTTTTGAAAACGGATAGTATCATTTATAATTTTTGTGAATGTTCATGTCCCAAGTTATTAGCTTATATCAATTTACAAACTTGCTGTAGGTAGTATTGGGTAATAACAAACTTTGACAACACAAAAAATTTAAGACAATTTTGTAAAAGATCAATGTGATAACTATTATTATAGGAAAAAGACACTTGAGGTAAGTAAATAAACTCTGAAATACACAACACTAATAAATAAATCAATATCAAAGGATCATTCCAGGTTTTCTTCGAACAACATCCTACAAAAAATGAACATATTAAGAAAACTTACCTGCGTGTGATCTTGTTGACTAGTGGCGATGTTTTCCGATTTGTCACTTTTTGGCCAGTTTTGTATTCTTTGCGGAGCTTCACTGCGACATTTGTTGCACCACCGTGTTCCAGGTTGATAATTAGGAAAATTAAAACCAGCATGGTCAAGAGTGGGAAAGAAATGACGAGGAATCGCGTGGCCGTGCAGCCTTGAAGAGTGTCCCCAAGTAGATGGACACGAGCATCTCCTGTCGTCCTCTCTTCGAATTTTATCAAAATGGCGCTGACAAACCATTTCATTAGGCTGCAGACCACCAGCTCTACATACTTGAGGGTTTGCTTTTCTTAAAATACCGCTACAGCCATCCGAAAGCCTCCTGGTTTTGGCCTTTGAACAAAGCATTTTCTTCAAAACAAAATTTGTATGTTGCGAAGACCAAAGCGCCGCGATAGTCTTACGCGAGACAACAATTTCACATGCTGTGCAAGCTCAGTTTAACTCTGGCACGATATAAAATATGGAATACGAATAATAGAAACGATAGGTGAAGTTCAGGCGCTAAGTTTGCAGTTTTCGCTCTAAGTTTTGGGGTTTTTCATCGCAAACCGGGCTCGCGTTGAAAACCAATTTAAAGTTGCCGGTGTTTTTAATTTTTAAAGGCGATGACGCTGACCAGCAAAATACTGTATCGCGCCTTCAAAAACGTATTTCTGCGGTGCCGTTAATGATCTAGTTGGAGGATGACTTGCCGAGACCCCTGACCATTGGAGAAGTAAACTTTAAACGTTACTTGGCCCGCAATTAAATCTACATTTCCCGGACTGCTAGTCTGCTACACAGCCGTTTTTAGTGTCGTCACGCAACGCTCCTCCCCAGGAGCGTTGCGTGACGACACTAAAAACGGCTGTGTAGCAGGCTACCGGACTGCCGGACGGAACTGTTTTTTGAGCCCTAAATTAGTGCTCCATTTCTTCAAACCCACCTTTGAAACTAGTTTCAAGCCATCCCCTCCTTCCCCCGCCCCTACGGTATGCACTGGAAGGGCGTCTGTTTACAAGGAGGGAGCAAGATCCTAGCAGCAGGAAGATGCTAGAAGATCCTGTATTCAGTTTACATGCAAAGGGTTGTGCCTAGCGATAGGATCTTCCTAGGATCTTCCTAGCAGTAGAAAGATCCTAGCGCCATATAAACTGCTTTCGGGGGATAAATGGCGGCGGGTCGTTCAGTGGATAACCACGACAAAAAAGCCCACAATTTTTGGCGCCACCAGTTGTAAAGTACTGCCATCTGCTGCAGAAAGGTAGGTAAGGGACGGACCATTAGAAAAGTTATGGGGGGATTTTCGAGCCGCAGGAATTTTTTTTTCGATATCAAATTCCTGCTATGAATTTTTTTCAGGCCCTTGCATAAATATTTCTTAGGGGTTAATTGGCGTGCAAGAATTTTTTTTAAATTAAATTTTCCCTTGCGCGAATTTTTTTTTTGTACTTCGCCCGCCCCCTCCTATAAGTTTTCTAATGGTCCGTCCCTAATAACGCTAATAAAGAAAGCAGAAGCGGGGCGCAAATTGCATGTTTGTTATTGTCGTCCGCCCTCTTAAATTCCCTCTCAACTTGGTTAATCACGCGGGATAAAATTTCCTCATGTAAACCCAACGAAATATTGTTCCGCCTTGTAGCTAGCTTCCATGATCTTCCTAGTGCTATGATCTTCTTTTCTTCCATGTAAACAGCCCCTAAGAGTTTTCTGCAATCAGTTAAAATTTAAAATTTGGATGAAGTTCGTTTTGTTTGAGCGGCTGTTAAAGCTACAGTCACTCGTGCAGAGCACTTAACTCTGTAATTTCGTTTTGCTAATGGATAGTTTTGGCATAACGTCTTCTGGATATTTCGGAAACGTGGTACCTAAACCAACCTGTGCTAAGCTTTAATTAGGTGTAAATCAATTATTTAACGCCATTTACGTTTGAGTGAACTTCAGAACTTTGGTGATCATACTAATTTCTTTCACTCCAACGAACCATGCAAAAAATGTAAAATTTGAAAACAGCACTTAGAAAGCTTGGGCGCATTAGTCAAATCCTGGGCTTCGGAATTTGGAGTACAGTTTAAGGAATCCGAAATTCTATTAACGATTGGAATCCGGAGTTCCACTGCCAAAAATCAGGAACCAGGACCCGGAATACGAAATCCAAGATTCGGAATCCATGGCGTAGGGTCCAGAATCTAAGACTGTCCTAGATCCCTTACATACAACGACCATGCCATAAAAGAAAGAACTAATTATATAGCGGTTCTCCTTTCCCTTGTTTGTTTCAATAGTGACATCCTTCACATTTGTTGTAATTTCCTCCTGGCGTACCGTCTTCCCCGTGCAGGTATAGACCTTAAACAATTAATAAGTGGTAAGCATCACGTTGCTATTTCTCTTAAAACCTGAGGTATCGGTTGTCACTCAGACTAATAATGCGTTACGAAAGATAATCTGTAAATATACTTCACTTAGGCGGTAGCGCATTGTTTCTTGCTTTTAGAGACTGCACTGACGTACACGTGTCTTGGATATGCACAAATGGTTTAATGGTTAGTTAAACACACAATGGCTCATCAATGATGTTTTTTTCCAGAAAATGATGTTTATTGAGCTGCCATTAGCTATATTTGACGTTAAGAAGCAAACGGGTGGCTATTTAAGTACAGCTGTCGCGTGCTTTATCGAACAAAGTATCCTGAAATTCATTTTTCACGTGCGGTTGAAATTATTCCAGCAGTAAAATGTTTCCACCTCCATCCAATTACTGGTTCCTTTTCTTCGTGTTATCAACTGTGTTAGCTGCAGGAGCCTACGCCCAAGGTTAGTTTATTCCGTTTTTAGGTGAACAATTTTGCTCGTAAATGTTACCCAGTTCTTAGCTCTATTAAAGCCATGTTCAGGAAAAAAATCAGTGAAAAAAGAAACTCAGAAACCACAGAACAGGAACGATGATGAGGACCGTACGACAAACGAAAAACGGACCAAGTTTTTATTGAGAACATTGAAATTCAGCAAAGTTTAAAAAACTTTAAAAAAATAATTACGAAAAAGGTCAGATGTTGTTTCGTGGTCGTTTAACGAACAACTACAAAGACAATTCGACTTTTTGTCATGGAAATCCTAGAATATAAGAGCCGGTAAACGCGGAAACAAATTTCTCTTCGTCAAATTCGTATACGGAGAAATCTCGGAGACTTCAGAGCCCATTCAAGACAACTTAGGAGCAGCTATAAAAGAGGACTGAATATTGACCAACTGAGCAAAATCATTGCAGGCAAAGTTTGATTATCGAAAATTAACGAGAAGAACGTACTCGTGGGCATTTATCTTTCCGAACCAGTTTTAGAAAAAAAAATAGTGTTTTTCTTTCTTTTGATACTTCGCGGCTTTGCGAACACAGCGGGAAACAGTTGCATTAAGTTACGTTATGCAAACGGGCTCTATAGCTCTGTAAAACCGGCTGAGTGAGTGCCGTTACGTTCTTATTGTAAACTTTGCAACGTTTTTACCCATGAGTGACTATGTATTTGGATCTCCAAGCATACCCAAAGGGGATCGAGTTTCTTTGTAATCTATCAATGCAGCACTTAAAGAGTTTGGTGTGCAAACGAGAAAACCGACTGAGCCCTGCCGGCCGTATAGTCCCTTATTTGGTTTAAACGGGTATGTGCCGCTGAACAGGGTATGGTTTTTAAAAGTTCTTTAGTCTTGTAAAAACAGCACTATTTAATGTATTCGCCACTTTGAGCTTGCGCGGAAACCGGGTCGAGATGGTTGTCAAAGTGCATCGTGGGACAGTTTTGGGGAAGGCATTTCAATATGGCGACAATTTCGTCCCCCAAAACAGTCCCACAATGCACAGCGTGTTTTAAGGGATTGGAAGCCTTTAAACTGGTGTGGAGGCTAGCGTTGAGCGGTCTTTATTTTTAACACCAACAATCTGTGTCTAAAAATAATTGTAATTCTATGACAGTTGGTTTGAAAAACCACTAAATCCTCTACGCAAAGCGAAACGAAGCAGGGTCTTGAAATATGGTCTCCTGTCTTCAACAGGGTAGCAAAGTGAATAATTTTTGTTTTAAACAAGGCCAGGGTTTGAACGCCCCGCGGGAACACCTCTACTTAAAATTCTTATAATTTTCTTGTGTGCCCCTCACCGCCCCCCAACTCCCTCGGGGGATCAAGACTAGTAGGGTTTTTTAAAAAATGTGATGGTTCTTACAGATCTGGATGCTACATATCGCCCAGATCTTCGCCGAGATGTTTTTGTAAAAGAAGAGTACCACTTTTTAAACGTCTCTGGAATTGGAACTTTTACGGTGTACGACAACTTTGACTGCACCTTTGAATGCCTCGGCAATCCGTCATGTTTGTCTCTGAACCTGGCCGCCTCCAAGGGAGCCGATGGAACACTTTGGTGCGAATTGTTGACTTCTAGTAAATACATCAACCCGGACGAGTACAAAGAAAACAAGACTTCACATCACTTTTCCTTGAAGGTGGGTTTAATTTAAGCGTGGTAGGTAGGTAGGTAGGTAGGTAGGTAGGTAGGCAGGTGGGTAGGTAGGCAGGTAGGTAGGTAGCCTGCTCCAGGCTCCGAGATAGTTGGGCCAAATGAATTGAGGGAGCGCGAAAACGAAAGTAAAACAGGAGGAAACTGGGGAAAGAAGGGGCGGCGGAGCCTGTAATCATTTCTTTAAAGGACCCGTTCCGGTATACCAGTTTCTGGTATACCCTCTGATTGGTCAGATTTGACAGATTATATCAACACTCTCAAAGCGGGTCGTTCCTGTCACTCAGAAAGATGGCATGCGGCGCCCACGCGCGTGAAATAGAGAAATCCACGATAACTTCTGTGTTGAACGAATGTTTACGAGATTTCCCGCACGTAGGAGCGCTAAAGAAAGAACAGAAGACCTGCCTTGTGAACTTGGCGAGAGGAAAAAATGTTTTTGCAATCCTGCCCACGGCTTCAGTCTTGCCTGATAACAGAGTGTCAATAACAGAACGGTCGCAAGAAGGAGTTATCTTCGCGCTCCAGTCCAGACACACATTATCTAAGGATCTCTTTAGAAAACCAAGCTGGAGGTTTCAAAAAAATCAAAAGACTTATTACTAAACTAAGACAATGTAAAAATAATGTGAATAAGACTTCGGACATTTCTTCTACTGACCAAAGAGTTTCCAGGGCCAGAGGTGGTGTGGTCATTAAATATTAAATTGTCACAGAGCCGTCTATACAGCCGTGTATACATAGTGAAAGAGAGTTCAGATAAGACGAGCGAATATCGTATCTGGCACCTGTAAAAACCTCAGACATCGCGAGATGGAATTCTTTGTAGTTTATCTTTCAACAATTTGGCGCATTGGTTCCACAGAGGGGAACAATAATCAAAGTAGGGCTGTACTATACTCTTATACATTGTTTTACAAATGTAATTAGATTTAGTTTTATGAATGATCCCGTAGTCTCAACATAAAACACTTCAACGGATTATGAATTTGAATTTTAAAAGAAAAATGCAAGCCTCGTTTTGTTTGCGATTTTATGAGGGCAGGTGGGGATGGACATGTCTACCGAAAGATTATAATCATGCAAACGCTGGCTAAGAGCTATGACATATTAAACAGCTTGTTTTGCTTCGTTTGAACACATTATAGTGACAGATGGATAAACTCAAGTCTAGTTTTTTTCATCTCGTGGGTAATGGCTTATTTTTTCCTTAGTCAGCAAACGACTGAGGAGATTCTCAGAAAAGCCAACATAGATTTCATCCCAGCCATCCGTGAATTTAAAAGAGGAGTACAGTCAACTCTCGCCCTGCGGACACCTCGCTATAACGAACACCCCGATAATACGCGTACAGACAGCAGCTAAATCCCAGGAAAACATAAATCACAGACATTTGGCTGAAATAAACTCCCGCTAATACGGACTCTCGCTAATGAGGGCACTAACACGAGGTCCCTACTGTGTCCGCTATAACGAGAGTTGACTGTATTAGGTAAGGAAATGGACAGCTGAATGGGGAACTGATCAAGTTGCCTCTAGTAGAATTGGTGAAAAAAGATGAAAAGTCTCTTGTTATGTCTCTTCCAGGGTAGATTCCGGCCGAAATCCTGCGTCGAATATGGGCAGCAAGGTGCCTACAAAGATGGAGTTTATAAGATTTATGACAACAGCGGAAACACTTTCCCAGCCTACTGTGATTTGAGATCTGAGCCTGGTATTGCATGGACACTGGTCATGTCGTGGAGTAGAGAAAATCGCGGTATTTCTTCATTTAAAAGAGCCCCATTTCAGATCAATGCCGCGGAAAACGAGAATTCCTCGAAGTGGGATCGTTACCGCTTAAGTCTGAAGCGAATGAGATCTCTGCAAGCTCACTCCACCCATTGGCGAGCAACATGCAGCTATCCGACCCACGGCATCGATTTCAGAGACTACCTCCGTGGAAACTTCAAAGACTTTAACATCATCGACTTCCTCGGGTCGGCCACGTGCAAGAGAGTGGAATACATTAACATCAGGGGTTACAACGGCACGAATTTGACGGCGCCTTTCTGGCAAATACTCAATAGTTTCACTCTGCATATCGACAGTAGATACAGTAGATACACCAAATGTGAGTTTAACGCTGCTAGTACTGGCGCCGTGTTAAGTGAAGACAACTTTGGCTACTATGGGTCCTTCAACACCAACTTTCGCTGCACACAGGGCACCCAGTCCACCACCCAGTGGTGGTTTGGAGCTCTTGTCTAAACTTTTACTAGGATCAGGAACTTAATTGTTGATAATGGGTCAAAGAATTAAGGAACTGCTTCTGCAACTTGACTTGAAATTAACATTGATTTACACTGTAATTTTCAGGGAGTTATAATAACTCCTCTAGTGGGGCTAATTTAACTCCTGACAGTGGAGTTATTTTTCGTGGAGTTATTTTAACTCCAAAAAGGAGTTTAAAGAACTCTTTTTCAGGAGTAAAAGTGACCCCAGATATTGAGGAGTTAAAATAACCCCAAAAAAGGAGTTATCCTGTACCTAAAATTTTTACTCCACTTTCAGAGTTAAATTAACTCCAAAAAGAGTAAAAACAACCCCTGTAAGGAGTACAAGTAACCCCATTTCGGAGTAATTTTAACTCCAAGACTGGGAGTAAAAAGAACTCTTTTTCAGGAGTAAAAATGACCCCAAATTCGGAGTTAAATTAGGAGTTAAAATAACCCCAAAAAAGGGGTTATCCTGTACCTAAAATTTTTACTCCATTTTTGGAGTTATAATAACTCCCTAAAAATTAGGGTGTATAGACAGCTGGTAAAAGGTAATGAACGGATTTCTTTTTGAAAATCTACGATAGAAATAATTACCTATTTTAGCCTGAAATTCAGACGATTACTTCGAGTCGATTACTCCTCTCAGTATAAAGCGACCAACCTCGTTCCCAGGGTTCTCTCCTACCCGCCCTACCCTCTCTCGCTCCGTAGGGCGGGTAGGAGAGAACCCTGGGAACGAGGAACGAGGTTGTAAAGGGACTCGAAGTAATGTCAGAGACTTCGTCGGCGGGAACTTTAAAGACTTTAACATAATGGACTTCCTTGGTAATGGCGAGTGTAAGAGAGTAAAATATGTGGATATCCGAGGGCACAATGGCACAAACCTCACGGCACCGTTTTGGCAGGGCTGGGCTTTGCATACTGACAGCTCTTCCGGTTTGTGCGAGTTCAGCGCAACTGTTGGAGCGGTATGAAGTGAAGACAACTTTGGCTTTTATGGTGGATTTAATCCCAAGTTCCGGTGCACACAGGCAGACAACTCTACTACTCAGTGGTGTTTGGAGGTCATCTTAAAAACGAAGTAGTCACAAAACGAGAAATTCAGTCAGAAGGGATCTCTTTCAGGACGAAGGAGCCTTTAGATTGCACTGCCTTATAAGCTGACGAACAAAATGCATCCAGTATTAGTCTCGTAGATCATAAATTGTTTAACAACCTTTAAATTGGATACCCTCTCAATTAAGGGGTACTGATGAAGGCCGCGACTTTAAAGTACTAAACGTTTTGTCATGATTAATATAATAATAATAATAATAATAATAATAGTAATAATAATATCAATAATAATAATGTGCATTTATATAGCGCGAACTTCTGTATAAATATTCAGTTGAGAATTACAGTATTACTAAAATTATAATTAAAATGTAAAATATTCAATAATATTAAAACTGAAAAATTGAGTTTTAAAATCTAAACTATTAAGGTAGTACTAAAACTACTAACTATTAACTTCTTAGCATCAGGATAGAATTAAGCCGAAGGACCTGCCAGTGTCAATAATAGGGAAATAACAGTGAAATTCTTCTAGAGCGCAGCTACATAATCTCAACGCGCTTTAAAAATGTAAAATAAAATATATTAAGAAATATACAAACTAAATTAAAAATGTTTTGAGCTTTCTTTTAAAGAGAAATAAAGTTTGCGAGTTTTTAATGTCTACTGGCAAGGAATTCCAGAGGGTAGGTGCAGCTACATTGAAAGAGCGAGCACCTTATGGCTGATGATTAGGTACTACCAATGACAGACCCCTGGATGCAGAACGAAGACTTCTGTTGGGGTGATGAATTTGCAGTAGATCGCAAATGTAGGACGGGGCCATTCCATTCAGTGCTTTGTAGGTTATGATTAGAATCAACTTAATCCTTCTGGACTAAACGCAGGTTATACCGGAGAAATGGGCTGAAATGTTTGTCTTTGTAGTAATTCTCGCAGGGGCATTTAATACAATACGTTGCAATTTATCAAGCTGCTTTTTCGAGAACCCAAATAGGAGACTGTTGCAAAAGTCAATTTTACTTGTTAAAAGTGGGTTGATCTAAGTAGTTTCTAATCTTTCCAATATTACGCATCGCTAAGGACGCCGATTTGTAGATATTATTGACTTGTGTTGACATGTCAAAATGTTTATCCAAAACGACACTAAGATCAAGATTTGTACAGTCCCCGAAATGACCCCGACCCCGAAATAATCCCCAAATCGACCCCGAAATAATCCCCATTTCTCTTCACGTCGACCCCAAAATAATCTCAAATTAATTTTTGGAATGGGATGGTATTCCGCCACGGAATTATTACAAGTCTGTTGCAGCGTTTACATTCTTGAAATTCATTTAACATTTCATTACAGTTTATGTGATTTGTAACGCTTTTGTCGTCTGCTGTAATCATCTTTATGTCTTCGTTTGCATCTTCAACATCATTATAAATTTTAAAACAGTGTTAAAACACCACTCTTAAAATTCACTATATCCAAGACATGCACTGAGTTTTAACTTCATTTTTAGGATTTAACATCCATGCGCGCAGTTTTCTCAGTTTTCAGTTGAAGTTCATGGTGTTAGGGATGCACCATTAGAAATGTGAAGGGGGGGGTAGGACTTTCTGGAAAGGCATGTTATTTTTTTCACAACCAGCAGGAGTGCAGGATTTTTTTTTCAACCTTCAAACCCTTGCACGATTTTTTTTTTCCAAAATGACTATGCCCTCTTTTGGTCTTGTTTTACTAGACTGTTTCAACCGCGCAAATGTTTTTTGTTGTAGTGTTCCAACAGAACACGTTTGTTTTAAGTATATTTTTTTCATACTAATTGAGATTTTCTATTGAAATTTGGCGTGTGAAAACCCTGTTCAGGGTTCGCAGCCAATCAGAATGGCGAAACGACTTTCACACACGTGAAAAAAAGCGTTTCGTCCAGTCACAGATGTTTAGTACATAATGTAATAGGACACCTAAACACGTGCAGTGTTAGACATGGACTTTTTCGCATTGTATGTCAGATAAATCTCTCTCGCTTTCTGGATCTCACTCGCAAAGCCTTGCTCGTTCAATTTCTGATGCGAACCAACTCGTGCGTAAATACCGTACGCCCGCGCTGCCCATGAAGTAATCTATACGTTCAAACGTCCGAACTGAGTTCAGTGGCAGTTGAAACAGCTACACAAGCAGATCAAACGGTGTTTTACCCAAAGTAAAGTATTGCGAAGAAAGAGGAAGAAGAATGCTCTAAAGGAAAATAAAGAAAAACAAAAGAAGAAATTTCAAGCAGGCGAGGACTGGAACACAGAGAAAGAACCTGAGGGAAGACAAGAAACAGAGAAACAGAAAGAAGGAAAGCAAGCATCTCAGTCCTTATCATGCAAGGACTGGAACACAGAGAAAGAACCTGAGGGAAGACAAGAGACAGAAAAACAGAAAGAAAAGGAAGAAGAAGAAGAAGAAGAAGAAGAAGAAGAAGAAGAAGAAGAAGAAGAAGAAAAAAAGAAGTAAAACTGCAGCCAGCATGTCAGTCTTCATCAGGCGAGGACTGGGATACAGAGGAAGAACTTGAAGAACATTTCCTCTAAATCCTACCATATGTCTGTGGCCCATATGTTTAGGTTCAAGTTTTTATTAGAATGCACCATTTCTATTTATGGTTTTGCAAAGCATTCAAAATATTTTGTGTTAGTTTGGGTAAATAATATTCTTAATACTTTTAAATGCAGCGGGATCTGCAGTGTGATTGGTGTTTTTGGGACATCTACTTTTGTTTATAGCTGTAAACTTTATGGATTCAAGTAGCAACGCATATTGTACAACACCAACTCCATAAACTTGCGTGCAAGTGGAACTATTGACGTTGTTAACACAATCTCACTTTAATCCCATTAAAACAAAAAAGTATTTCAATAAAAAGTTTATTTAATTTATAAAGTTAAACAATTATCACCACAGTCTCTTAATTTAATACTATGGCAGCTATAGAGATCAAGGGCATCAGAGTTGGTTCAAATTGAAATCTCTATTTAGCCAGTAGAAATTGTTTTTTCTGCCTGAAATGTAGTTTGACATGAATTTAGGAAGTTGGGGGAAGGGGATTTCCTGTTACAGATCACAGATTTATTTTTCAGACTGTGTAATATATTGTCGCAGTCACATTGGTTATCCAAGCAGGATATTTTTTTCTGGTTTCGTTGCAATGCAGGATTTTTTTTTTTGTTTTTGGACTCCCCCCCCCTTCACATTTCTAATGGTGCATCCCTTACTAAAAATATACTAAACTTAGTGTATTAAATAATATTTTCTACTAATCCAGTTCAAAGTGTAATCCTAAATTAATGTCATTAAAGAATGCAGGCAAGTAAAGATTATTGGTGATAATTTAATTAATGTTGTGCATTTTGCTCGATTCATAGTTCTAGAACACCATTCCATCCCTAACATTTCGGGTTCGGCGTGAAGAGAAATGGGGATCATTTCGGGGTCGGTATCATTTCTGGGTCGATTTGGGGATCATTCAGGGTTGGGGATCATTTCGGGGGCTGTACAGATCGCATACTGCAGATTCCAATTTAATAGTACTAGCACCAATATTTATGGAAGGGATGGGATCAGTGTTAAGAAACTTTGAAGAAAAGTGGATAACTTTGGTCTCAGCTGTGTTGCAAAGCAAGAAGTTTTTGGAGTAAAACCAATACTGTAGCTTATACAATCTTTAATTTTATCGATGGATGCATTTCTATTGCTGAGCCCCATTGCGAGGTAAATCTGACTATCGTCAGTTAGAACATAGGATGGAGGCCGTGTGAAAGGACAATATGCTGAACCGGAGCAACATACATGGCAAATAGGACAGGTCCCAGGATTTACCCTTGTGGAACACCAAAACGCAGCTGACTATCCACTGAGACAACAGATCTTTTATGGACTAATCGTTTGCGGTCCGCTAGATACGAAGCAAGCCATTTAACAGCCAGATCTCTAAAGCCAAATCTCTGATGTAACCTGTTCAATAACACTTGATGATCGATAGTGTCAAACGCCGCAGACAAGTCAAGTAGAACAAGGATGGTATCTTCAGATTTATCAATGGTTTAACGATTAGTGATACGCAGTAAGGCTGTCTATGTACTGTTATCCTTTCGTTTATGAAGCCGATTGTGTTGCGTGGAATAGGTCGTTATGAAGGAGATAAGAGTACATTTGGGACAGAGCACATTTCTCAACAGCTTTGGATAGAAATGGCAACTTGCTGATTGACGGATAATTCTTGAAGGCCTTAGGATCAAGTCCTTTCTTTTTAAGGACCGGAGTAACACGACCATGTTTAAAAGCTGACGGAAATACACCAAGGAAACACGAAGCATTCACTAGGTGAGTGATAGTTTTCACCAGGAATTCTATGCAATCCTTAAGTAGACTTGTGGGAAGGGGATCCAAACCGCCATTTTTTTTCAGTGACTGATGAAAACGTCAAGAATGGTCATGAAACTAGACCCGTATGGCATGTTGATGATTAATCGCGGGAATCGTATTTTGATTGTGTTCCACTTATTTGCTGCGATTAACATATTAACATTGTCCACGATACTCGTTGCGAATGTTACGAACCTTTCTCGTTTTGCCACGTTAACATTTTGTTTGAAAACATTATTCAAAGTTTTTTGTGTATTTCATCTCTATATTGTAAATTGTAAATTGTAATTTGTTTACCCACGGAGCACTAAGGAGTTCATAACAACTCTTTGAAACGTGTCCGTGCGTGCCAGATCGAATTGGAATTTGAAAGTGTTGGTTTTTAAGGAGAGGGGAAAACCGGAGTACCCGGAGAAAAACTTCTCGGAGCAAGGGAGAGAACCAACAACAAACTCAACACACATATGGCGTCGACGCCAGGAATCGAACCCGGGCCACATTGGTGGGAGGCGCGTG